GTCCGCTCGAAAGACCTGAAGAAAATGTAAGTCATCAGAACTTCTATATGATACATATCAAATCATCATTTATGTTAAATACAAAACAAGCTTCTTAAACTTAAAAATCTTTTTTTTCCAGTTAGATCAGTGAACAATTTTATAAAAAAGTTATAAAAAAGAAAAAACACCAAAGCTATGTGAAAGGAAAAAAATCTATTCAGATATTTTAAACTGTCATTAAATTGTGGTTTTGCTTTGTTGAATAGTTGTCTAAAACAAATTGTAGATTGGTAAATACATGGAAAATAAACAGATAAAATACATGATTTGTTTGCCATTTAACCATACGAAGGCCTATAGCTTCCTGTTTTTCCTTTTTATCATCATTTCACCGTCTACGCCTTGTTAACCACAGCAGCATGCTATAGCACTGACACACTGAATGTTACAAAGTGCGGGACAAACAATTATTTGTTTTTGCAAATCTCTTCTGTTGAATATCTCCAACACCAAACTTTATTAAAAGCATGGGGAATTTGCAAGAACTGTATTTAAAATTAGGAATGATTAACTTAATTATTCAACTATGTTTTTTTTTTTTAAAAAGAAAGGGATTTAAAAGCAGTCATACATCCCCTTTTTCTCCCACGAATAAATAGGTGAGCTATATCGCTCTGCATTCATGAGGACTAAAACTCCAAAAATAATTACATTTTGTCTGTGTTTAATTGAGTTTTAGATTCTCACAACCTTTTACAGACTTCTAAAAAAGAGGTAGCCTAGGGTTTCAAAACATTTGTCTATCTGCAACCTCTGCAAATATTGCATTCGATACTGGCCAAATGAACCCTACTGTAAAAGTTCATGAGGGATGAAATGTACTAAAGATGTGAATTGTTCCATGTGTAATCTCCAGAGTTTCTGCCTCTCCTGACACACAAAGATGGCTGCAGCTCTGACTCTCCTTCTCATTGGCTGTCTGCTGCAGAGTGAGTTAAAGTTCATTCATATTTGGATCAATGACTATAAAACAATTAAAATCTATATCTACGCACTGTTAGTTGAGCATTCACACCACAGAACAGCAGTATCTTTGATACATGGTTCACTAAATACATTTGATGGGTGAACAATTTTATTTATCTAGAAAAAATTCTAGCACGGCAACCAAACAGTCAAATTTACTCATTACTGTAAAGTAGTATTCACTTGTTCTCATTCACAGGTTTGTGTCTTGTGTTTCAGGTGTCCACTGTGGAGGGTTTAAGGTCACTATGCCGCAGACTATAGAGGTTCTCAGTGGATCCTGTGTGACCATCCCCTGCTCCTTTGATATAGAGGACACATATACATCAGACTTAGGTGGAACCTGTAAAGCAATGTGGAAAAATGAACAACAGACTGTTGTGTTTGACAGCAGTAATCCGCAATCGTCTACAATAAAAGGAAAATTGACAGGAGACTTAACAAAAAGAGACTGCACCACAACCCTGAACAACATGCAACCTGAACCCAGCAACAAATATTACCTCAGACTGGAATGTGACAATCGCCTGAGATATGATTTTAATCAACAAAAGTTGGACATTTCAGTCAAAAGTAAGGTTTTAAAGTCCATTTAATTACACTTCAGTTGGTTATTTTATGCAGAACTGTCTTTGACCTGGTTCTCCATTTATTGCACTTTTCAAATAGTATATAAAATGGACAAGAATTCCATTTTTACTGACTGGTCAAAATGTACCTTCCCACCAGATGATCCTCCCAGACCGACTCTGACTCCGTCCACACTGGAGGTGGAGGAGGGAACCTCAGTGAGTTTGAAGTGCTCTGCTCCAGCTCCCTGTCTGTCTCATCCTCCAACTCTGACATGGACCCCAGGCCTGGGTCACAGTCAGGAGACACTGGAGGAGAATCAGGACAAAACTAAAGTCAAAACCTCTGTTGTGACCTTCACTGCTTCTCACCTCCATCACAGACAGGAAATCTCCTGTACTGCCGTCTACAACAAACAAGATGGCAGCACTGAGTCATCTGTTAGCACAAGTTTAACAGCTGATATTTCATGTGAGTTCATTTTTCCTCTGCTGAAATTCATCATTTCAAACATTATAATTGACCTATGTCCCTTAGTTGTCTTGCCTTATTTTGAATTTGTGCTGAAAGAATTAATCAATTCATCCATTAGTCGATCAAGAGAAAAATAGTTCACATATCATCAATGATGATAATCTGTTATCTAATTTTTTTTCCTGTTCTCAAAATATGAGAAAATATTTGCTGTGTTTTCTACTTTACAACAACATTGTAAATTGAATATCTTTCTTGGCATTTTATACAGTATTCTAACATTTTATAGACTAAATGAAGAATTGATCAGTCATAGATAAATTACTCAACCAATTATTCAAAAATAAAAACAATCATTAGTTACAGCTCTAGTTTAAATGTGAAATCCATCACTTTGGTAAACAGCAGTTACACTACTGATGCCTTGACTATAAAAACTATTGAAAACTATAACTTCACAAGTATTTGAACCACAGTATGACAATAGGCTATCTGTAATGAATACTACAGCAAATGAAGTAGGCCTATGCTGTGAGCTACAAATGTATTCTCCTTTTGTTTTCTTAAAACTTTAATTTGATGAGTCAAAACTTTGGTATTTTTATCAAGCGACTTTTCGCTAAAAAATTACAAAGTTTTCACACACACTAGCTTCATTAGCATTTAAACACTCAACGATGGCTTCTCCCTCTTCCTCTGCTGTTCTGTCTTGCTCAGTGTGTCAGATGTTTAGCTATTCCTCTGCCTCCTTTAGTGATAATGGTACATGTATTAAGTGTAATTGATATTGAATCTTTAAAACTCCTAAGATATTTAAAGAAGAAAATATATTAAGATAGTTATTCACGTCGGGGACTGCCCTGCCCAATGTGACCAGTGATGACGTGGGTCCCGCCATTGACCAGTGATGACGTGTATAGCCGCATGTCGTCATTCCACCGCTGGCTGTCGAGGTGGTGTCCAGAAAACCATGTGGACTTAATAGATAACTGGAAGTCTTTTTTGGGACAACCTGGTCTGATTAGGAGAGACTGCATCCATCTCACTTTGGATGGAGCTGCTCTCTTATCTAGAAATATGACAAAGTTTATTTCTAAAACCTGACAGTCCAGAGTTGGGACCAGGAAGCAGAGCTGCTGTCTTACACTCTTCTCTGCACTTTCTTTAGAACAGTCACCCACCCAAAACCCCATAGAGACTGTGTCTGTCCCCCGACCACCTAAATTATTTAAAGAAATAAAAACAAGAGGAGTTCAACATAAAAACCTAATAAAAATTAAATCTCCTCAGTAGCACAAAATAAGAGAATGAAATGTGGACTGTTAAATATCAGGTCTCTGTCTTCAAAAGCTGTTGTAGTGAATTAATTAATATCAGATTATGATATTGATTTACTTTGTCTTACTGAGACCTGGTTGTCCCACGAGGAATATGTTAGCCTAAATGAATCCACCCCCCCATTATTTAATAACTTTTGAATTCATATTACTAGATTATAAGCTATTAGGCAAAACTTTGGGTATAAAGTGCTCAAGCTGTGATCTATATTTGTTAACCAACCCGGAAGTTTGAATCGCCCTGGTTCCTGGTAAAGTAGTAAAGACAAAGGAACACCACTTTTATGATTGAAGCGCACATTTGATTGCCTGAAGTAAAAAGCTAACATTAGGCTCAAAACGAACAACAACACATTAAACTCCTCATTATTGTAAAGTAGTATTCACTTCTTCTTTATAAAAACATTTATGTCTTGTGTTTCAGGTCCGTTTAAGGTCATCATGCCGCAGACTATAGAGGTTCTGAAGGGATCATCTGTGACCATCCCCTGCTCCTTTTGTATAACGGCCGATTTTAGATCAAACTTAAGTGGAACCTGTAAAGCAATGTGGAAAAATGATCAAGGGACTGTTGTGTTTGACAGCAGTTATCCACAATTGTCTGCAATAAAAGGAAATTTGACAGGAGACTTAACAAAAACAGACTGCACCACAACCTTGAACAACATGCAACCTGAACACAGCAACAAATATTACCTCAGACTGGAATGTGACAATGGCCTGAAATATGAATTTAATCAACAAAAGTTGGACGTTTCAGTCAAAAAGTATGTTTAAAGGTTATTTACACTTCAGTCATTAATTTCTCATGTACAACTGTCTTGACCTGGTTTTGTATTTATTGCAATTTGCAAATTGTATAAAAAATTTAGAAGAATTACATTTTTACTGACTCATCAAAATGTACCTTTCCACGAGATGATCCTCCCAGACCGACTCTGACTCCGTCCACACTGGAGGTGGAGGAGGGAACCTCAGTGAGTTTGAAGTGCTCTGCTCCAGCTCCCAGTCTGTCTCATTCTCCAACTCTGACATGGACCCCCAGCCTGGGTCACAGTCAGGAGACACTGGAGGAGAATCAGGACAAAACTAAAGTCAAGACCTCTGTTGTGACCTTCACTGCTTCTCACCTCCATCACAGACAGGAAATCTCCTGTACTGCTGTCTACAACAAACAAGATGGCAGCACTGAGTCATCTGTTAGCACAAGTTTAACAGCTGATATTTCATGTGAGTTCATTAGTTAATTTTTTAATTCATCATGAAACAATTTTAAGTCAAATCTTCTACAAAAGATTAGCAGAAAAGTAATTTTGATGACAATTTTTATATATAATGCATTTTATAAAAAATGGGTCAGCACACACGACAAATTACTTGATTTCCAAATATCAGATTACATTACACCTTTAAATAATAAAAATCATTTATTTGTCATTTTGTTGTGTGGAAGTGCAGCAAGAAAGCTGGCTGTTGTTTGATGTCAACTTTCTTTTACAATGATGCTTTACCAGGATGAATATGATCAAAGTTAATTCAATCTCCAGGGAACACAGATATTACGACTTATAACTGACAATGTAACACATACCAATGATATTTATTTTTCAGATTCACCCAAACACACCACAGTGTCAGTCAGTCCCTCTGGTCCAGTACCAGAAGACAGCACTGTGACTCTGACATGCAGTAGTACTGCCAACCCAGCAGTAAGGACCTACACCTGGTACAGAGCTGATGGAGGCCAGGAGACTTTTATTGGGACTGGACGTGTTTTAAATATTGAAGCTTCTGAAGTCAGTGGTCCTTTTTTCTGCAAGGCTGAAAATGATCTTGGAGCTGGACGATCCAACATCAGTCAAATAGACGTTCAGTGTAAGTATCAAATTTCAAACTTAAAATGCTCTATATACTCTGATAGGTCTAGCTGTATGCAGTACACTGATTTACATATAATAATATTTTGTGATTAATTTGTTCATTTAGATATTTAGGTGATAATTTGAATGCCGAACTTTAACACCCCCCATGTAGTTATCAAAAAAGAGAGTTTTACATTCCACTGTACTAGTTAATCCTTTTCAGCCAACAATATCACACTCATGTCATTACTGGCTAGTCAATATTTTAATGGATTTCCTTGTCAACCCATTAAGCACAGTAGTTTGAGGAGGCACATGTTGGTCGTAGGTCACATATTGCATGTAGCCCTCAAGATTCAGTTGGGTAGTCCAACAAGTGTGTGTTAGTGCAGCAAGGAAGCCGGCTGTTGTTTGCGGTCAACTTTCTCTCGATGGAACACATATATTAGAAATTACAATGAAACACATAATAATATTTGTGTTTCAGATTCACCCAAACACACCACAGTGTCAGTCAGTCCCTCTGGTCCAGTACCAGAAGACAGCACTGTGACTCTGACATGCAGTAGTACTGCCAACCCAGCAGTAAGGAACTACACCTGGTACAGAGCTGATGGAGGCCAGGAGACTTTTATTGGGACTGGACGTGTTTTAAACATTAAAGCTTCTGAAGTCAGTGGTCCTTTTTTCTGCAAGGCTGAAAATGATCTTGGAGCTAGACGATCCAACATCAGTCAAATAGACGTTCAGTGTGAGTATCACATGATTAAAACTTTTTATATTACCTCAATCAAGGTATAATTCAATGTATTCTGTTTAGTAGTTAATTTTAAAAATATATAATAATTTTCTCTATTCTTTTTTACTAATGACATAATTTTGCCAACTTTAGTCTATGTTACCACAGGCCATCATCTGTATAAAACACATTATGTGTCAAAATCATATCTAAATACATATATTTCTCCCCACTGGTAAAACTAACCTAACCCTGGGTTAAAATTGTTCCAGAAAATTGTATTATTATAGAAGAATAAAGCCTTCAATGAGTTCCAATACATAGAATAACGGACTTTCATGACAGTCTTAACTCACAACTTCTCAACAATTATTTTGTTTAATCAGTACATCTTGCCTTTCATTTTTGTGAACTTGATTAAAAATGACTTTATTTGACTCTTACCTTATCGGTCTTCTCTACATTCATTACAGTTGCTCCACAGATCCTGCCCTCATTTTATTGCACCAAAACTGCAGACCAGCTCAACTGTTCCTGTGAGACTGTGGGAAAGCCGTCTCCCACTTTACAGTGGTATTTGGATGGGTTACCTGTCAATCACTCGGACAAGTTTGCAATCAGCAATGAGCCTCTAAATGAGACAAGTCTGAGGATAATCATAACTGTGAATCAACCACAATGGAGGAATCTTTCCACTTTGCTCTGCCGCAGCTCCAACTCTCTGGGATCTGCTACTCAGAGGTTTTATTTCTACAGCCTTGAGCCTCAAACATCTGCACAATGTCACAGTATGTGTTGTGCCGAATTTTTATTGATTTTTTAGAAACTTTCAGATTTCTCAAATTCATATTTTATTATTACTATTATATTTATGCGACTAATGACTACTCATCAACATACTCTAATATTTCCTCAATTTGTGTTTGAAATACTGAATCAGAAATGCCCCAAAATATTTTTTACTGCCACATTAATTGTAAACATGGGTAGTGATACACTGTAACTAATCCAAAGGCATCATTTTGTTCAATGAAATGTTTTAAAAATAAACAAATAAAAATAAAAAAGTTAAAAAAAGTTATGCATATATACTTTCTTTCTTGATAAAAAGAAAATAGCATAAATCAGTAAGTAGTGATAAAAAAGATGTTTCAGTTCAATGTCCAAACTTTTATCAGAAGAATTATCTCATGTCTGAGTTACCTCTTTATCCTAATCTTCCACTGTCCCTTGTATGTTTCAGACCAAGTGACACTGACAGTCTTCATCATCATAGTTGTTGCACTGCTAGTACTACTAGTACTTGTATGTGCTCTGCTGTTAGTCAACAGGTACGGTAACAGCTTGAGACAAAATGTTCAGACATTCCCTTCCACACACAACTGCTATTGTTTTACTAACTTTTACTTGGACTCCTGTGAGTGTTTGTTTGGGTCTTCATCCATCAGAACCAATTTAACACTTGTAATAGTTTGTGCTATATCTGTAAACCATGTTCTGAGGAGACCTGGAACCTCATTTATATAACAAACTTATAAATTTTTGATCTTTATTATGACTTCCACAGAGAACCATGAAACTGGTGGGTAATATTCATGTCCATCATATCCCTATTTGTTAGACAACGTTTGACAGCTGCTCCTCTTTGTAGATTCAGTTTGTCTATGTTTGCCATATGTTGTTTAGATTTTCATTTCCTTTCTACTTTCTCTGTGATTGACGGTTTCATCCTGTTGATTAATAAATGAGCAGTGGGAAAAGATGAATCAAATATACCCATGTAGGTTAAATGTTCTACTGTATTTTTCAGGGCTCAGAAGACTCGCCATAACCTTCCTAAGGGCACCGTTGCTATGAGTCAACTTCTAACAAGTGGAGAGGGAAACGAGGTACGGGCATTTTATACTTAGAATTAAGTAATTAAATTTGGATTAGCAGAGTGGGTGTACCACAGATGTCTTCTCTTTAATTGCAGGTACCCAACACAACAGAAGACGTCATTTCTATCAATGCTGCTGTGCTGAGACAGGAAGATGTCGCCCCTCCTGCAGCTGTCTCTGGCCCAAACAACGCCGACTCAGCAAGCTCTGGACCAAACAATGCAGAAGGAGCCGATAAAAACTCAGAGAAGAAGAATGAAGGAGGCAGCGACGTGGTTTACGCGAGTGTGGACTGGAAGAGCAAGAGCAAGAAGAAGAAAAAGGAAGAAGACGCTGTGGACATGGATCATCCTGGTAGCTCCTATCTTGAGGAGGAGAGGTGCATGGTGGGAGGCATGAGCAGAAAATCTGTGAGCAACGCAATGGAGATGGGAAGCCTATATGACAATGTAGAGCCTAGAAATGTGAAGAAGGAAGTGGAATGTGAATATGCCCAGGTTCAATTTAAAAAAAAAAGTGAGAAGAAATAGATCACTTCTATATTGCTCTGCCTATTTTTAAAACAATATATTCAGAATGTCTTGTTCTCTTGTACATACGTTTCCTCATTTGCTTTTTGCTGTTGCTTTGAAACAGAATTTCAAACGAACAGAATTATGTTTAATTGTTTTTAATTTAAGAGGTTTTTAACATCTTGCAGATTTTGTGTCACTGAATAATTTTGTTTTACATGCATGATATACTGTATTTTTACTCATATAATTATGTTTGGCTTGTGTAAATTGACAGATCCTCTTCTGTTTTACATTTATTTATTTTTACATACCTTGCTGTAGAAACAATAATAATCCAATAATCTGCAAAACTGCTTTCTGATGAAATGTTACGGAATAATGGTCTAACATTGTTACAGCTGCTGTGTTCAGAAATTAAGAGGTCAAAAGGTGACTCACTGACTGCTGTACAGCCGCTACTTTCTTAAACTGCTAAGCTTGTTTATGGGTAATATTGAGTTTCATCTGTTTGTATCACTGTTGCTGAGTATCATTACACATAAAAAAGATGACACAGTAAGCAAATATTTCAAGTATTAGTGTCATCTGAAAATTATTTAACCCAACTTCTGGGATTTGTCCTAGAACTGGAAGAAGTAAAAAAAATAAAAATAAAAGTTTAAAACCTGCATAATTCTCACATTTAAACTGGAAATGTACATTGTTTAATAATTTTGTAATCAATAAAAGGTATTTTTTTGTTAAGTGTTTTATTAACACTATTTGCAATGTAGTGTATCTGTATAAAATAATATACTATATATAATGACTAGTCAAATATTTAATCGATGTTTTCCATATCAACTTGTTAAGTACTAGTGACCATAGGAAATGCTAGTTATCATGTTGCATTATTCAGGTTACTGGCATAGTGTCTGTCACATGAACTGAATCAGTTAATACTACTTAAATTTAATAGTCATGCAACATTTCACCACTGGTTGAGTTTATATTGGTATTTATTAATTTGTCAGACATTTTAGAGGAAATAACTAATGGTTTACTTGCAATATTCTGACTTCAATACTTGATAATAGGCAGTGTCATCAGGTGTATTATAATTATCTGTATAATAGTTTCATCTTTTGCACAATGTTTTAATTTCAGGATTTTTACTATAATAATGAACTGGTAAAGTTCAGTAATGGAACCAGTCAGATTATTCATAAAACGTTAATTGTATCAATAATATATTACCAGCCCTTCATCTGCCACAATAATCCAATCACATTCCTGTTGAAATCTTATCAAACAGCTGTCACTCACACTTCACATTGCAGACTCAATTATCTGAGCACAGTGTGATTTGAAAACAATATTTGTAGGAGGAACAGGTTGGGTGTTGGTGATATACTGTGCCTCAAGATTCAGTGTCCCGGGCCAACAGGTGGGTGGTGGTGCAGAAACATAGCAAGAAAGCTGGTTGTTGTTGTTTGATGTCAACTTTGTGACATTACATTAATAACGTGGTTTACACTGATGATTTAACAAGACAAGTACACCTGGTACAGAGCTGACAGAGGCCAGGAGGACTTTATTGGGACCGGACGTGTTTTAAACATTAAAGCTTCTAAAGTCAGGGGTCCTTTTATCTGCAGGGCTGAAAATGATCTAGGAGCTGGACGTTGCAACATCAACCAAATAAATGTTGAATATAAGTTTTCGTTTATTTTAAGCTTTTATTTACCTATTGGCTGTTAACACACTTTGTCATTGTAGACATACAACAACATTTTGTATGGTACCTCTCAATGACAAGCGGCATCAATAAAAACAAGATAAAAAAAGATAATACATGTAAATACAGTAGTACTGTAACCCACATTGAAATGTGATAAATAGAAGTAATTGATTGAAATGCATAAATAAGTTAATTAATTAAAATGAATTCATGTAAGAATCAATCAATAGCTTTAATTGAATGGAAACAGTTAAAAGTATGGCTGTAAGAAATTCTCATGAACTTCCCCTTTAAGAGACTCTCTGCTTGTTGCCGTAGCAACAAGGAGAGTGGAGCAGAGAGGAGAGAAATTAACGAGAGAAAATATTTTAATGAAAAGTTTATTTAGAAGCTGAAAAGTAACACCTGCCTGGTCGGGGATTCATGAGGATTTTATATTAGTAAACCACAACGGTTTTTGTGAGTTTCAATTATTTTCGTTGAAGCTTTGTTGCAGTATAATAAATGCTAGCGAAGAGCTAACAGTTGTAACTGGAAAAAAGCTATAAACATACTGTTAATCAGTTAATTAATTAGTTTGGTTTGTTAAGGAAATGAGGTATGAATGTATATTGTGTTAGTGGAAAAATGTGGAAATGTATTTTATGTAAAGCAAAGGTGTGTGGTTAATTGCATGAGGGCAGGAGAAAAGTACAGCAGTGTGAACAACGTGGCAGTAATGTTGCAATTTACAGTAATTATAAAACTTTATCCTGGTTTATGTAGTTAGAATAATTCATTTCTTTTTTTCAGGTTTTTTTTTCCTTGTTCCTGTATGAAGTTGGACTTGAGTGTTGCTTCTTCTGCAGTGTGTGGAGGACGACAAACACACACACACAAGCGCGGGATACAAGATGGCGAGCCAACCCATGGACCCATGAAGTTTCTAGAGACAACTCCGCTCCATCATGTCAGAAAGGATCCGCCGTGTACACACTGTTGGTAAACTGGCTGCCAGAGCGGTAGTGTTGGGGTTATTCTTTTTCCCCTTTTCTCTCTTTGAACTGAACTTGAACTGAAATTAAGTATTACTTCATATTGTATTCTGCAGTGTTGGGGTAGTTACTGAAACAAAATCCATTACACATTACTAGTTACTTTTTTAAAAAGTAATGCCTTACTTTACTGTGTTACTCGCTGCTTAAAGTAATTAGTTACACTACTAGTTACATTACTTTTGGATTACTCCATGACATCACCTGAGATGCACCATACCTTCATTGACAATGTTTTCTTTAGCTCAGTGTCCATCTTGACATAACACTGGTCCAGGTAGCTTGTAAAGGTTTTCCTGTCTGATGGCGGGCGTCCGCTCCGCGTTGTGTGTATTTTGCTCAGTATGTTTCGAAAAGACGACGATTCCACAGTTACTTTGTAACGCGTTACCCCCAACACTGGTCTTCATAATTGTGAAAGTTATGATTTAAAGCATAAGTGTTTGACTTGACTAAGATTTTTGAAAATGGTGTAAATATTCTTTTATTTTCTTACTTGTGAAGGGAAGAAAAAAAGAGTAAACTCAAGGAGATAGAAAGAAACCAAAAATAGGTGCAACCGGTCCACATGAAAATAAGACAGTTACTTATAGACCGATCTAATATAAAAACTATCTAAACCAAATTATTTAAAATCTAGGTAAGGGGAAGGTGAGTTCTATTTGACTTTTTTTGTTACCTGCAGGACTATTCACTGGTTCTAATATTTGTTATATGTATTGTCTATGTTAAATTTCAGTAAACTGCTGGTTTTTGTATTTAAAGTACCTGGTCTCTGGTTTCATTTTGTATCGTTACCCCACTCTGTTGAACCTAGAACTGGTCCAGTAGCATTAATAGGGTTGTATTAGAGTATACATGTACTACAATACATATAAATATGAAGAGAGAAGCATTTGGATGAGCAGGTAAGCAGTGATAGTGCACATTGTCAGTATCAGTATAAAATATATATTTCACAACAGTTTGACAGTATACAGCAGAGACAAGAGATGTGTAGTATATGTGTATGTGCCGTTTGTAATAAAGTGTTTATGTGCAATACAACAGGTGGGTGAATGAGTCTTTCAGTCTATAACTCCTGTGAGAGGGTGGGGGTGACGGAGGCTTCAGCTCTGGGGAAGAAGCTGTTCCTATGTGTCTGTTTGAACTAAATGAGATCTTTCTCTGTCCGTCCACTGACTCCTGGTAAAGGACTTTGACCAATTCCCAATCAATGCTCTGATCCGTTTCTAAAGTAATTGATATACATTATTATACATTTTGTTGTTGTTTTTATTGACGTTATTATTATTAATATTACTACTACTACTGCTACTACAGGTCAACAATCACTTAACTGAATCTACATTCAATATGAAATACATAAAGCTGTTGAATTGGAGTTAGATGATAAAATGTCTATGTGCCATACAACTGTGTCCGCCTCCCCTATATGACGTGGGACTGTTTAAAACTGATTAAAAAAAGTACATACATTTCATTTTCACACGTGCACTTTTGTAACTTCCTCATTTTAAAGTTAATTCTTGCATGCCGTTCGAGAAAGCAACAAAACTTTTAAGGAACTTCACTTCTCTATACGTCTTGATCTGTCTGCCTGGAAGACCTGAAGAAAATGTAAGTCATCATAACTTCTATATGACACATATTGAATTCATTAATGTTAAATACACTATGAAGTAATAAAAACATAAACATTAGATCAATAAACAATGTTAAAGGTATAAAAAAGAAAACACAGGTGGTAAAAGTTCCCATTGAAATGTAAGCTGTAATTTGATTGTAGTTTGAGACAGTTGAAAATAGTTGTGAAAAAGAAACTGTACCTTTGTAAATAAATGGAAAGAAATCAAGAAAAGAGACCATATGTTTGTCATATTTTCCTTTCACAAAACAGTATAACTTCCTGTTTTTCCTTTTCATCATTTCATCTTCTATGTCTTGTTTAACCAAAGCAGCATGTTGTAACTCTGACAAACTGTATGTTACAAATTGTGGGTCAAACAGTAGTCTGTTTTTGCAAATCTTTTACAATAAGTAGAAAAACAAAACCAGTATTACCCATTTACTGAATATCTCAATAATGAAATATTTATAAAAACCTGGCAAAATTTCAAGAAATGTATTTACAGTAAGTATTGATTAATTTAACTGTTTAATTATAGTTTTTTTCATGAAATTAAGAAATAGATACAGGATTGCAAACGTTTCTTTGTATGCAACCTCTGCAAATATTGCATTCAATAGTAGCCTCCAAATGAAGCCTACTGTAAAAGTTTATGAGGGATGAAATGTACTAAAGATGTGAATTGTTCCATGTGTAATCTCCAGAGTTTCTGCCTCTCCTGACACACAAAGATGGCTGCAGCTCTGACTCTCCTTCTCATTGGCTGTCTGCTGCAGAGTGAGTTAAAGTTCATTCCCATTTTTACAGTTTTATAGTCATCAATGACTATAAAACTATTAAAACCTATATCTACACACTGTTAGTTAAGCATTCACACAACAGAACAACAGTATCTATAATACATGGTGCACTAAATAAGTTTTTCTTACATTAGATGGGTGAAACATTTTATTTTTATCTAGAAAAGATCTTTACAGCTTCATCTTTTGGATTATTTTATGAATAAAGGTATAGCGCTAAGATTCTAGCACGGCAACCAAACAGTCAAATTTCCTTATTATCGTAAGTAGTTTTCACTTGTTCTCATTTACAGGTTTGTGTCTTGTGTTTCAGGTGTCCACTGTGGAGAGTTTAAGGTCACTATGCCGCAGACTATAGAAGTTCTCAGGGGATCCTGTGTGACCATCCCCTGCTCCTTTGATACAGAGGACGGATATAGATCAAACTTAGATAGAACATGTAGAGCAATGTGGAAACATTATCAAGATGTTGTTGTGTTTAATAGCAGAAATCCTCATTCATCTACAATAAAAGGAAAACTGACAGGAGTCTTAACAGCTAAAGACTGCACCACAACCCTGAACAACATGCAACCTGAACACAGCAACAAATATTACTTCAGAGTGCAATGTAAAAATCGCCTCAAATATGATTTTATTGAACAAAAGTTGGACATTTCAGTAAAAAGTAGGTTTTAAGGTCAATGTATTTACACTTCAGTTATTTAGAACTGCTTTGACCTTGTTCTCCATTAATTGCACTTTTCAAATAGTATATAAAATGGAGAAGAATTACATTTTTACTGACTGGTCAAAATGTACCTTCCCACCAGATGATCCTCCCAGACCGACTCTGACTCCGTCCACACTGGAGGTGGAGGAGGGAACCTCAGTGAGTTTGAAGTGCTCTGCTCCAGCTCCCTGTCTGTCTCATCCTCCAACTCTGACATGGACCCCCAGCCTGGGTCACAGTCAGGAGACACTGGAGGAGAATCAGAACAAAACTAAAGTCAAGACCTCTGTTGTGACCTTCACTGCTTCTCACCTCCATCACAGACAGGAAATCTCCTGTACTGCCGTCTACAACAAACAAGATGGCAGCACTGAGTCATCTGTTAGCACAAGTTTAACAGCTGATATTTCATGTGAGTTGTATTTAACCATTAGTCGATCAACAGAAAAAAAGTTCTCAACAACGTTGACAGGTGATTAATCATTAGTTTTTTTTTTTTGTTTGTTTGTTTTTTAGAGACATAGTAAAATTTCCCTCTTTGAGAATTTGCTAATTTTATTTCTGTTTTATTCCATTGTAAATTGATTTTCTGAGAACAGTTTTTTTGGAAGACACCACATTAACTGTGATGGACTTTTTTTTTTACAGATTTCCAACATTTTACAGACTAAACGATTAATTGATCGATTGTAAAAGTATCAGAAACTACTGAACTGAAAATAATCATTAGTTGCAGCTTGCTAGTTTAAATGTGAAATCTATCACTTTGGAAAACAGCAGTCTCCATGCAATGCTTATGCATTGCAATTAGGAAATTAATTCATATAGGCTTCAAAACAGTCCAATAAGTGGGTGGAAGTGCAGAAACAGAAATATTGCTAGCTGCTGTTGTTGATAACTAACAAGCTTCATCCTTTGCTGATGAATCAAAGTGGAGTTGGTTGGATCCTCCTCACAAAAGGAAAAAAACATTTTTTTTTTTATCTGGAATGCATTTAACCTAAAAGGATACGCATAAAACATGAAGCATGACTTTATTTCGTTCCAAATATCAGATTACATACCACCTATGAATGAAACTAATTATTCTTTTTTCAGATTCACCCAAACACACCACAGTGTCAGTCAGTCCCTCTGGTCCAGTACCAGAAGACAGCACTGTGACTCTGACATGCAGTAGTACTGCCAACCCAGCAGTAAGGAACTACACCTGGTACAGAGATGATGGAGACCAGAAGACTTTTATTGGGACCGGACCCGTTTTAAACATTAAAGCTTCTGAAGTCAGTGGTCCTTTTTTCTGTAAGGCTGAAAATGATCTTGGAGCTGGACGATCCAACATCAGTCAAATAGACGTTCAGTGTGAGTATCAAATTTCAAACTCAAAATGCTCTATATACTCTGATAGGTCTAGCTGTATGCAGTACACTGATTTACATATAAAACTATTTTTTCATTAATTGGCTAATTTAGATATTTAACACATGTTTAGAATTTATAAATGTGCAACTTTGGCACCACTGTGTTGTTATCAAAAAATTTTTTTTTAGAATTCCACCTTACTAGTTAATGCTTTTCAGTTTACAATATCACACACATGTTAATACAAGCTAGTCAATTATTTAATGGTGTCTCTCCTCTTTAACTTGTTAAGTACTAGTGAAGATAGGAAATACTAGTGACCATGTTGTATTATCCAGGTATTTTCACTCCAGGGTCATCAGTTACAAAAAGGTGTCGACACTATAACTTTAGAAGAAAATCATGACATAATCTCACTTAATTATTTCATGACAAATATAAGATCAAATTATACCTATAAGAAATACAAATAATGTTTTCATAAGTGTAATCATTTCTTTTTCAGATTCACCCAAAAACACCACAGTGTCAGTCAGTCCCTCTGGTCCAGTACCAGAAGACAGCACTGTGACTCTGACATGCAGTAGTACTGCCAACCCAGCAGTAAGGAACTACACCTGGTACAGAGCTGATGGAAGCAAGGAGACTTTTATTGGGACCGGACCTGTTTTAAACATTAAAGCTTCTGAAGTCAGTGGTCCTTTTTTCTGTAAGGCTGAAAATGATCTTGGAGCTGGACGATCCAACACCAGTCAAATAGACGTTCAGTGTATGTATCACATGATTACGACTGTTTATGTTACTGTTAAATCCAGGTATTATTAAGTAGATATTTGCTTTTTAGTAATTAATCTAATTAATAATTTATTACATTTTTCATAAAGCTCTTTATAAGATTTATTAGATGAATTAAAAAAGTTATTAATCAATCTCTTCTTTAAGACTAATGTTAAGCATTTTTATTAATATACTTATTATATGAGAGGTTATACATTAGACGTAGGCATTTCTAATATTTAGTCTGCCCTTAAAAGGAGTGGATAAAATACTATGGACCTTTGCTCATCATGTGATAACAGTTGTTTCTGTGTGGGGGAAGATTATAACCGATCCCATCACTGTTCAAATTCGTCCGCTGACTCCAGGGGCCTCATTTATTAGGATTAATTTGAGTCCTTAGAAGCTGTATATCCACCCATTATGACATTTGTATATATTTTACAGTTCAGCCCAGTCTATGTATCACCTAGCTCTGACTGAAACCCCACCTGTGCACAGAACGCTGTTCGCTTGTTTATTCAAAAATCATCTCTTTTCTGAGTTACCTCTTTATCCTAATCTTCCACTGTCCCTTGTATGTTTCAGACCAAGTGACACTGACAGTCTCCATCATCATAGTTGTCGCACTGCTAGTACTAGTATGTGCTCTGCTGTTAGTCATCAGGTACGGTAACAGCTTGAGACAAAATGTTCAGACATACCCTTCTACACACAACTGTTATAGTGGAAAAACTGGCATTATGCAGTGTTTGTTTGGGTCGTCACCCATCAGAACAAACTCAACATTTTGTCCCCTAGCTGCACTAAGTGAGGGAAGACTGTGGGAATGAGAGGCGAACCAATTCAAAAGTTAAGATTTCTCACTAAAATAAGTTGGTTGGTGGATCAGATATATGTCCAATTAAACACAGTCTTGTAAAACTGTTAATTTACAATCTGCATGTGTGCCCTTTGGTCCAAGGCTATTCCGGACTAAACCCTTCAGTGCAGCATTATACAAGGGGAAATTGCTAAGGCAGGTGCCATCAATTTTAAGTTAATTGGAGATTTAAAGATCACAGGTGCATACATTTCAAATAAGCGTAGGACCTGCATGACCTAGTATCTTTTATGAAAATTTAAAAAATAAAACTAGTGAGTAATATATCCATCATTTCTCTGTTTGTTAGTTACAACATTTGACTGCTGCTCCTCTTTGTGGATTCAGTTTGTCTATGTTTGTCATATATTGCGTAGATTTTCATTTGTGATCAACGGTTTCATCCTGTTGATTAATAAATGAGCAGTGGGAAAAGATGAATCAAATATAACCATGTAGGTTAAATGTTCTACTGTATTTTTCAGGGCTCAGAAGACTCGCCATAACCTTCCTAAGGGCACCGTTGTTGTGAGTCAACTTCTAATAAGTGGAGAGGGAAATGAGGTATGGGGCCGTTTTCTACTTAGAACTAAGTAATTAAGTTTGGATTAGCAGAGTATGTGTACCATTGATGTCTTCTCTTTAATTGCAGGTACCCAACACAACAGAAGATGACATTTATGTCAACGCCAGTGTGCTGAGACAGGAAGATGTCGCCCCTCCTGCAGCTGTCTCTGAGCCAAACAACGCCGACTCAGCAAGCTCTGGGCCAAACAATGCAGAAGGAGCCAATAAAAACTTAGAGAAGAAGAATGAAGGAGGCAGTGACGTGGTTTACGCGAATGTGAACTGGAAGCGCAAGAGCAAGAAGAAGAAGAAGGAAGAAAACACTGTGGACATGGATCAGCTGGGTAGCTCTTATCTTGAGGAGGAGAGGTGCATGGTGGGAGGCATGAGCAGAAATTATGTGAGCAATGCAATGGAGATGGGAAGCCTATATGACAATGTAGAGCCTAGAAATGTGAAGAAGGAAGTGGAATGTGAATATGCCCAGGTTCAATTTTTAAAAAAAAAGTGAGCACACATAGATCACACTTCTATATTGCTGTGCCTATTTTCTCTTGTTCTCTTGTACATAAGTTTCCTCATTTGCTTTTTGTTGCTGCTTTGAAACAGAAATTTAAATGAACAGAATTATGTTTAATTGTTTTTAAGTTCAAGGGGTTTTAAATATCTTGCAGATTTTGTGTCACTGAATAATTTTGTTTTATGTGCATTATATACTGTATTTTTATATATAATTTTGAGTCATATAATCATGTTTGGCTTGTGTCAATTGATAGATGCCCTTTAACATTCATTTTGTGATGCAGCATTTTTTGTTTTATTGTATTATTTTGAACATTTGATTTTTGTATAAATTTATCTGGATGTATAAACAACATCCACATTCTTATTTTTGTCTAGAATTACATTTATTCTTTCAAACCAACAGCTAAACGTTCCCATCAGTCTCCAATTTTGTATTTAATTTATTTTAATGCATCTTACCCTGGCCATTGTGTTTTAAACATGCACTGAAAAACAAGTGGTGGAGTGTTTAGCACAACATTTTTAGAAACAGGAAAGTTTCCTGTTTGAGACTGAATAGAACAGAGGGGGTGTACAGCGGATTAAGTGGTGGTAAAGTGGTAGATTTGACCACAGTAACAGATCAGTGGGCCATCACAGACACATTCATGAAGCAGCTACTTTTCACGAGCTAAAACAAAGTCTTATTGTGTGGAAATGTACATTGCTTAATCATTTTGTTATCAGTAAAAGGTATTTTAAAGTATTTAAGCTTTTCTGATATTGTTAAGTGTTTTTTTAACACTATTTGCAATGTAGTGTATCTGCATAAAATAAATATTTTAAGTTTACTTCGTCTTTAAACTTTTTTCACAGTTTCAAATTGTGTCACTTTTTTTTCACGTTCATCCACAAAAATAGCGTCATGAAACAGAAAAACCACAACTAACACTTTTATCATCTACACTACCCCTCCTTCTCATCTCACCCCACAAAGGCATCTCAGTGCTCCAGCAGGTCAGAAGCAGGAGAATCACCCTACCCAAAACAGTTACCACAGTGGAGGGGAGCTGTGTTGTGGTGTCATGTCAGACACAACCTCATTCCCGGGCCAGTACCATTACATAAAATACCTTGCAGTCTTTGATGGACTCTCATACAACAGCACAACAGTTCACAGGACGCACCTCAGTACTGAGTAAAGCTGCAGAGGGTAACTGCAGCCTGAGGATTAATGATGTGACAAGAGCAGACGACCACGTTCAAATTTATGTTTGGATCAACCCAGACTGTCATCTTCTTCGCTAAGGTGTTTTGGGGAGTCTTGCATCAGAACTTGTGGCGCTAAAAAACTGGGAAAACTGGTGAAGGAGGCCAGCTCGGTGGTGTGGATGGATCTGGGTAGTGTGGAGGCTGTGCCTGAGAAGAGGATGAGAGGGAGGCTGAAAGACATCATGGACAACCCTTCTCATCCTCTCTGTGATGAGGCAGCTCAGGAGCACTTTCAGCCACAGACTAATCCAGCCCCATGTCTCAAAGCACATGGGAGGCTCATTTTGAATTGCTCCTACAGGGGGGTTCAATAATGGAACATCTTATCTTCTATTATACTGACTAGTCAATTATTTAATCAATGTTTTCCTTATCAACTTGTTAAGTACTAGTGACCATAGGAAATACTAGTTACCATGTTGCATTATTCTGGTTACTGGCATAGTGTCTGTCACATGAACTGAACCAGTTAATACTACTTAAATTTAAAAGTCGTGCAACATTTCACCACCGGTTGAGTTCATACTGGTATTTATTAATTTGTAAGACATTTTGGAGGTAATTAGCTAATGGTTTACTTGCAATATTCTGATTTCAATACTTGCTAATAGGCAGTGTCATCAGGTGTATTATAATTATCTGTATAATAGTTTTATCCTTTGCACAATGTTTAAATTTCAGGGTTTTTATTATAATAGTGAACTGGTAAAGTGCAGTAATGAAACCAGTCAGATTATTCATAAAATTCTAATTATATAAATTATGTATTACCAGCTCTTCATCTGCCACAATAATCCAATCACATTCCGGTCGAAATCTTATAAAACACCCGTCACTCACAACCACTTTTGAATTTGTTTTAACAGTATTTCACATTGCAGACTCAATTCTCTGAGCACGCAGTGTGATGTGAAAACAATATTTTATAGGGGGCACAGGTTGGGTGTTGGCCATATACTGTGCCTCAAGATTCAGTGTCCTGGTCCAACAGGTGGGTGGCAGTGCAGAAACATAGCAAAAAGGCTGGCTGTTTGCTGTCAACTTTGTGACATTACATTAATAGGGTGGTTACACAGAGCGTTATACTGATGGTTTAACAGGAGAAATACACAATAATCACACATGTGCACTTTGGTGACTTCCTCATTTTAAAGTTAATTCTTGCAGGCTGTTTGAAAAAGCAGCACAACTGTGAAGGAACTTCACTTCTCCATACGTCGTTGATCTGTCTGCTCAGATGACCTGAAGAAAATGTAAGTCGTCATAACTTCTATATGACACAAATTTAATCATCAACATTTAATTTAAATACACTATAAAATTATAAAAATATAAACATCAGGTCACTTTACAGTGACCAATTACAGTGCACGATTTCAAAAGCTGAAAAAATAAGAGACAAACTATGTGTAAGGTGGCAAAATTTCTATTTGAAACTTTTAAGCTGCTGTTCGATTGAGGTTTTAGACTGTTGAAAATAATTGTGCAAAACAAACAGTAGTTTTATAATTGAACAGAAAAGATGAAATAAAAAGACAACTGTATGTTTGTCCATTTTTCCTTTTGCAAACGGTTTAGCTTTCAGTTCATTAAGGCTTGGGAAAATTTGCAAGAAAGTTTTTAAAGGAAGGCAGTAATACATTCCCTTTTCCCTTTACGAATAATAAATAGGTATGTTGTGTCACCGTACCCTCATGAGAAACAGAGATAGACACAAAGAGTCGCAAAACATTTCTCTATCTGCAACCTCTGCAGATATAAATCAAATACTAGCCTCTAAATGAACCCTACTGTAAGGGTTAATATGGGATGAAATGTACTAAAGATGTGAATTGTTCCATGTGTAATCTCCAGAGTTTCTGCCTCTCCTGACACACAAAGATGGCTGCAGCTCTGACTCTCCTTCTCATTGGCTGTCTGCTGCAGAGTGAGTTAAAGTTCATTCACATTTGGATCCACGACTATAAAACTATGAAAACTATAACCATGCAAGTTATCTTCACATAGTATAACAGTATCTGTAATATGTGGTGCGCTAAATGAAAAGCAGTGAGGAACAAAAGTGTCTGCCACCTTTTTTTGAGAAATTTAATTTGATGGGTGAAAAAATGTCTTTCTATTTAAACATTTAGAAAAAAACAAAAGCAGAATCTGCTATAGATTTTAGCACAGCAACCAAATGATAACATTTCTTAATTTCTGTAAAATAGTATTCCCTTGTTATCATTCACAGGTTTGTGTCTTGTGTTTCAGGTGTCCACTGTGGAGAGTTTAAGGTCACTATACCGCAGACTATAGAGGTTCTCAGGGGATCCTGTGTGACCATCCCCTGCTCCTTTGATATAAAGGACGGATTTGGATCAGACTTAGATGGAACCTGTAAAGCAATGTGGAAAAATGAACAAGGGACTGTTGTGTTTGACAGCAGCAATCCACAATCGTCTACAATAAAAGGAAAATTTGACAGGAGACTTAACAAAAAGAGACTGCACCACAACCCTGAACAACATGCAACCTGAACACAGCAAAAAATATTACCTCAGAGTGGAATGTGACAATCGACTGAAACAAAATTTTATTCATCAAAAGTTGGAAATTTCTGTAAAAGGTATGTTTTAAAGTTTTTGTAGAACTTCGTTTGACCTTGTTCTCTACCATTAATCATATTTTTCAAAAAGTATGAAGAAGAATTAAATTTTCACTGACTGGTCAAAATGTACCTTCCCACCAGATGATCCTCTCAGACCGACTCTGACTCCGTCCACACTGAAGGTGGAGGAGGGAACCTCAGTGAGTTTGAAGTGCTCTGCCCTAGCTCCCAGTCTGTCTCATCCTCCAACTCTGACATGGACCCCCAGCCTGGGTCACAGTCAGGAGACACTGAAGGAGAATAAGGACAAAACTAAAGTCAAGACCTCTGTTGTGAACTTCACTGCTTCTCACCTCCATCACAGACAGGAAATCTCCTGTACTGCCGTCTACAACAAACAAGATGGCAGCACTGAGTCATCTCTTAGCACAAGTTTAACAGCTGATATTTCAGAGTTCCTTGTTTTTTTTTAATTCATCATGAAACAATTTAATTGAATGAGTCAAATATTCACAAGATTACTGAAAAGAATGTTGACGATTTCAAGTTTAACAGCTGATATTTCATGTAAGTTCATTTTTCCTCTGCTGTAATTAATCATTTTAAACATTATAATTGATCTATGTCCCTTACTTTTCAAGTCTTATTTTGAACCAGTGCTGAAATAATTAATCAATTCATCCATTCAACATTTTTGTTTTCATAATATGAGGATTTGCTGCTTATGTCTCTTTTATATCATTGTAAACTGAATGTCTCTGTGTTTTGGACCGTTGATCAGGAACCAGGCTATTTGAAGACATTAACTTATCCTCTGGAATATTGGCATTTTATACAGTATGCCAACATTTAATTGACTACATGACTAATTGATCAGTAGTTAAATTACAACAAATTAATCAAAAATAAAAACAATCATTAGTTGCAGCTCTAGTTTAAATGTGAAATCCATCACTTTGGAAAACAGCGACCTCCATGCTCCATTGTGAAGAATTGTCCCCTCTAGACTGTTACACTACTGATGCCTTAACTATGAAAACTATTAAAAACTATAATAACACAAAGTTAGTCAAGTATCCAAACTACAGTATAACAATATCTGTAATGCATACTACAGCAAATGAAGGATGCAGTGAGCTTTACATTTATTCTCCTGCCGTTTTCTTAAAACTTCAATATGATGAGTCGAAAATTTTGTATTTTTATCAAAACATCCAGAAAAAAAAACCTGTGAGACCAAAGCAGATTTTTACAGTCCGGATTTTGGATTATTTTATGAATAAAGGTATAAAGTGCTCAAGGTATGATTTATTTTTGTTAACCAACCCGGAAGTTTGAATCGCCCTGGTTCCTGGTAAAGTAGTAAAGACAAAGGAACACCACTTTTATGATTTTTGAAGAGCACATTTGATTGCCAGAAGTAAAAATCTAACATTAGGCTAAAATGAAAGACAACACATTAAACTCCTCATTACTGTAAAGTAGTATTAACTTCTTCTTTTTAAAAACATTTATGTCTTGTGTTTCAGGTCCGTTTAAGGTCATCATGCCGCAGACTTTAGAGGTTCTGAAGGGATCCTGTGTGACCATCCCCTGCTCCTTTTGTATAAAGGCCGATTTTAGATCAAACTTAGATGGAACCTGTAAAGCAATGTGGAAAAATGAACAACATGTTGTTGTGTTTGACAGCAGCAATCCACAATCGTCTACAATAAAAGGAAAATTGACAGGAGACTTAACAAAAAGAGACTGCACCACAACCCTGAACAACATGCAACCTGAACACAGCAACAAATATTACCTCAGACTGGAATGTGACAATCGCCTGAAACTAAATTTTAATGAACAAAAGTTGAACATTACAGTCAAAGGTATGTTTTAAAGTTATTTACACTTCAGTCATTAATTTCTCATGTAGAACTGCCTTGACCTTGCAATTCATATAAAATATGAAGAAGAATTACATTTTTACTGACTGGTCAAAATGTACCTTCCCACCAGATGATCCTCTCAGACCGACTCTGACTCCGTCCACACTGGAGGTGGAGGAGGGAACCTCAGTGAGTTTGAAGTGCTCTGCTCCAGCTCCCTGTCTGTCTCATCCTCCAACTCTGACATGGACCCCCAGCCTGGGTCACAGTCAGGAGACACTGGAGGAGAATCAGGACAAAACTAAAGTCAAGACCTCTGTTGTGATCTTCACTGCTTCTCACCTCCATCACAGACAGGAAATCTCCTGTACTGCCGTCTACAACAAACAAGATGGCAGCACTGAGTCATCTGTCAGCACAAGTTTAAGAGCTGATATTTCATGTAAGTTCATTTGTTTGTTTGTTTTTCAATTCATCATGAAACAATTTTAATTGAATAAGTCAAATCTTCTACAAAAGATTAGCAGAAAAGTAATTTTGATGACAATTTTTATATATAAAGCTTTTTGTAAAAAAGAGGTCAGCACAAAAAAACATGACAAATTACTTGATTTCCAAATATCAGATTACATTACACCTTTAAATAATACAAATCACTTATTTGTCATTTTGTTGTGTGGAAGTGCAGCAAGAAAGCTGCCTGTTGTTTGCTGTCAACTTTCTTTTACAATGATGCTTTACCAGGATGAATATGATCAAGGTTAATTCAATCTCCAGGGAACACAGATATTACGACTTATAACTGACAATGTAACACATACAAATGATATTTATTTTTCAGATTCACCCAAACACACCACAGTGTCAGTCAGTCCCTCTGGTCCAGCACCAGAAGACAGCACTGTGACTCTGACATGCAGTAGTACTGCCAACCCAGCAGTAAGGAACTACACCTGGTACAGAGCTGATGGAGGCCAGGAGACTTTTATTGGGACCGGACGTGTTTTAAACATTAAAGCTTCTGAAGTCAGTGGTCCTTTTTTCTGCAAGGTTGAAAATGATCTTGGAGCTGGACGATCCAACATCAGTCAAATAGATATTCAGTGTAAGTATCAAATTTCAAACTTAAAATGCTCTATATACTCTGATAGGTCTAGCTGTATGTACACTGATTTATATATAATAATATTTTGTTAATAATTTAGATATTTAAGGTCACTATGTTTAGGATTTTAAATGTCCAACTTTAGCACCACTGACTATATATCAAAAAAAGAGATTTTTGCATTCCACCCTAAGAGTTAATCCTTTTCAGTATACAATATCACACACATGTTAATACAGGCTAGTCAATTATTTAACGGTGGCTTTCCTCTTTAACTTGTTAAGTATTAGTGACCGTAGAAAATATTAGATACCAGGTTGTATTATTCAGGTATTTGCACTCCAGGGTCATCAGTTACAAAAAGATGTTGGCACCATAACTTCAAAAGAAAAACTGGACATGATCGACCTTAATTATTTCATGTAACATGTCAGATCAAGTAACACCTATAAAAAATACAAATAATGTTTCCATAATTGTAATCATTTCTTTTTCAGATTCACCCAAACACACCACAGTGTCAGTCAGTCCCTCTGGTCCAGTACCAGAAGACAGCACTGTGACTCTGACATGCAGTAGTACTGCCAACCCAGCAGTAAGGAACTACATCTGTTACAGAGCTGATGGAGGCCAGGAGACTTTTATTGGGACCGGACCTGTTTTAAACATTAAAGCTTCTGAAGTCAGTGGTCCTTTTTTCTGCAAGGCTGAAAATGATCTTGGAGCTGGACGATCCAACATCAGTCAAATAGATGTTCAGTGTATGTATCAAATTTCAAACTCAAAATGCTCTATATACTCTGATAGGTCTAGTTGTATGTAGTACACTTATTTACATATTATAATAATTTGTAAATACATTTGTTTATGTGACCAAGGCAGTTAAGCGCCCTGACAGCAAGTGCGACAACGCCACCCTGGGACTTTCACCCAGAGAATACCCACTTTCACAGGTTCTTATAGTACAGAGAAAAAGGAGCAGAGATGAGAATTTCCAGTTTCCACCACTAAATTTATTTACACAGATTTAATTTCAGTCTCATAAAAAACAATTTGGGACAGGTTAAAATTTACGATTTATTACCAAAATATACTTATATTCACTAAACAGGTAATTACCAGTACAAGGGGGAGGGGAGGGGGGCTGTCAGGGAGGCCTACATGAATGAGGGAGTGAGAAAAGGGGGGTCACCACCACCACCAGTAGGTACAGGGAAGAGGAGATCACACACACTGCAAAACAATAAAGCACATAGTTAGAATACACAGCAACGTAAGCATGCACATAGAACCCAGACAGGGGGAAACCTTCCACCCAGTAACCCGCCACCTGTAAGCGTATGACAGCCCACCTATACAAACACTAAAAAGAGCCCCACTATATCATTAACTCACAAGTTTGGTTTATGAAAGATGACAAATAAATCCGACAACTAAATTAACCAAGAAAACACAGACCAACTATCAAAAATTAACAATCTACACAGTAAAACAAGGTAACCATATACAATAAATACATTTGTAGAAGGGCAAAAACAGCAGTAGCCAGAAGACTAGGTCATGGGAACAGACACCATGTTCAAATTCCTATTGCGAGTTACATGAACAATTTATCCAACTAGGATCTGGCACATAGACACCACACTCTTCTAGTGGAGGGAGCAGCAACTACCTTCAATTAGCTCCCATATTGCTGCCATTACACCTTAGTTGGGCATCGGCATCCCTCAAACAAGTGTAGAGTCAGGGTAGGGTGAGGCAAAACCTACTGCTGACTGCTACACAGCTACATTTAAGGACTGAGAAGTGATTAGCCTCACCTGCTGACAATCAATGATTGCAGGGTGTGGCTAAACTAGAGTGGGGAGGGAACGCTACCCATCACAATCAGATATTTAATGTCACTATGTTTAGGATTTTAAAATGTCCAACTTCAACACTTCCTCTGTTGTTATCAAAAAACAATTTTTGGATTCCACCTTATTAGTCTATCTTTTTCAGTCTAAAATATCAAGCACATGTCAATACAGGCTAGTCAATCATTTAATAGAGGCTTTTCTTGTCAACCCATTAAGCACAGTAGTTTGAGGAGGCACATGTTGGTCGTAGGTCACATATTGCATGTAGCCCCTCATGATTCTGTTGGGTAGTCCAATGAGTGTGTGTTAGTGCAGCATGAAGCTGGCTGTTGTTTGTGGTCAACTTTCTCTTGATTGAACACATATGTGACAAATTATACAGGGACACATAATAATATTTATGTTTCAGATTCACCCAAACGCACCACAGTGTCAGTCAGTCCCTCTGGTCCAGTACCAGAACACAGCAATGTGACTTCTGACATGCAGTAGTACTGCCAACCCAGCAGTAAGGAACTACACCTGGTACAGAGCTGATGGAGGCCAGGAGACTTTTATTGGGACCGGACGTGTTTTAAACATTAAAGCTTCTGAAGTCAGTGGTCCTTTTTTCTGCAAGGCTGAAAATGATCTTGGAGCTGGACAATCCAACATCAGTCAAATAGACGTTCAGTGTATGTATCAAATTTCAAACTCAAAATGCTCTATATACTCTGATAGGTCTAGTTGTATGCAGTACACTGATTTACATATAATAATATCTTTTCATTAATTGGCTAATTTAGATATTTAAGGTATGTTTAGGAATTTAAAATGTCCAACTTTAGCACCAATGTGTTCTTCTCCAAAAATAGACTTTTGCATTCCACCTTTCTAGTAAATCCTTTTCAGTTTACAATATATCACACGCTAATACAAGCTAGTCAATCATTTAATGGTGTCTCTCCTCTTTAACTAGTTAAGTACTAGTGAAGATAGGAAATACTAGTGACCATGTTGTATTATCCAGGTATTTGCACTCCAGGGTCATCAGTTACAAAAAAGGTTTCGGCACTATAACTTTAGAAGAAAATCGTGACATAATCTCACTTTATTATTTCATGACAAATATAAGATTAAATTATACCTATAAGAAATACAAATAATGTTTCCATGAGTGTAATCATTTCTTTTTCAGATTCACCCAAACACACCACAGTGTCAGTCAGTCCCTCTGGTCAAGTTCCAAAAGACAGCACTGTGACTCTGACATGCAGTAGTACTGCCAACCCAGCAGTAAGGTACTACACCTGGTACAGAGCTGATGGAGGCCAGGAGACTTTTATTGGGACCGGACGTGTTTTAAACATTAAAGCTTCTGAAGTCAGTGGTCCTTTTTTCTGCAAGGCTGAAAATGATCTTGGAGCTGGACGATCCAACATCAGTCAAATAGACGTTCAGTGTATGTATCAAATTTTAAACTATAAATGTTCTATATACTCTGATAGGTCTAGCTGTATGCAGTACACTGATTTACATATAATAATATCTTTTCATTAATTGGCTAATTTAGATATTTAAAGGGGAACTTGGCAACTATTTCAACTTAATAAACCCGTTTAGAAATCATTTGGATGGTTAAATGGCCTGTTCCGGTGAAAATGGTGACTTTCCCCGCCCCCCCTAGCGTCCCCAGGCGGAAAATCAACCTTGCAACTTTTGGACTACCGTCCCGTTAAGTTGGAAATAGGAAGTATCGTGAGAAGTGAGAACGAGCGAGCAGCACAAACTGCTTTACAGCAATTCCACATAAACACACACGCCCCCCTCAATACCGGTTAGCCACGCCGGCTATAAGAACAAGTGACAATGAATGTATTACCCACCTCAGTAGACATTGCTCCACACGAAAAAGTTGCCCAGCAACAAATGCACATCAGCAGCGGTAGAAAGGGGGAGGAGGGTGCCCGAAAGTGAGTTTTTTTACAACAGTGTTTTGAAATATACGTCCCAGAGCTGTAGGGGGAGCTCGCTGAGAAAACATGCAACGACAAAAGTGAAAACCAGCGAAGAAATGGCTAGAGTTGCCAAGTTTCCGTATGTTTAGGATTTTAAAATATCCAACTTTAGCACCACTGTGTTGTTCTCAAAAAATAGACTTTTGCATTCCACCTTACTAGTTAATACTTTACAGTTTACAATATCGCACATGTTAATACAAGCTAGTCAATTATTTAATGGTGTCTCTCCTCTTTAACTTGTTAAGTACTAGTGAAGATAGGAAATACTAGATACCATGTTGTTTTATTCAGGTATTTGCACTCCAGGGTCATCAGTTACAAAAAAGGTTTCGGCACTATAACTTTAGAAGAAAATTGTGACAAAATCTCATTTCATTATTTCATGACAAATATAAAATCAAATTATACCAATAAGAAATATAAATAATATTCCATAAGTGTAATCATTTCTTTTTCAGATTCACCCAAACACACCACAATGTCAGTCAGTCCCTCTGGTCCAGTACCAGAAGACAGCAATGTGACTCTGACATGCAGTAGTACTGCCAACCCAGCAGTAAGGAACTACACCTGGTACAGAGCTGATGGAGGCCAGGAGACTTTTATTGGGACCGGACATGTTTTAAACATTAAAGCTTCTGAAGTCAGTGGTCCTTTTTTCTGCAAGGCTGAAAATAATCTTGGAGCTGGACGATCAAACATCAGTCAAATAGATGTTCAGTGTATGTATCAAATGTCTACCTCAAAATGCTCTATATACTCTGATGTGTCTATCAGTATGTACACTGATATACAAATAATAATATTTTGTTATTAATCTGTTCATTTAGATATTTAGGTGATAAATTAAATGCCAAACTTTAATACCCCCCGTGTGGTTATCAAAAAAGAGATTTTTGTATTCCACCATACTAGATAATCCTTTTCAGCCAACAATATCACACCCATGTCATTACTGGCTAGTCAATCATTTAATAGAGGCTTTTCTTGTCAACCAATTAAGCACAGTAGTTTGAGGAGGCACATGTTGGTCGTAGGTCACATATTGCATGTAGCCCCTCAAGATTCAGTTGGGTAGTCCAATAAGTGTGTGTTGGTGCAGCAAGGGAGCTGGCTGTTGTTTGTGGTCAACTTTCTCTTGATTGAACACATATATTAGAAATTACAGTGAAACACATAATAATATTTACGTTTAATTCCTTTTTTTTCAGATTCACCCAAACACACCACAGTGTCAGTCAGTCCTTCTGGTCCAGTACCAGAAGACAGCAATGTGACTCTGACATGCAGTAGTACTGCCAACCCAGCAGTAAGGAACTACACCTGGTACAGAGCTGATGGAGGCCAGGAGACTTTTATTGGGACCGGACCTGTTTTAAACATTAAAGCTTCTGAAGTCAGTGGTCCTTTTTTCTGCAAGGCTGAAAATGATCTTGGAGCTGGACAATCCAACATCAGTCAAATAGACGTTCAGTGTAAGTATCAAATTTCAAACTCAAAATGCTCTATATACTCTGATAGGTCTAGCTGTATGCAGTACACTGATTTGCATATAATAATATGTTTTCATTAATTGGCTAATTTAGATATTTAAGGTATGTTTAGGATTTTAAAATGTCTAACTTTAGCACCACTGTGTTGTTATCCGAAAATAGACTTTTGCATTCCATCTTCCTAGTAAATCCTTTCAGTTTACAATAACTCACACGTTAATACAAGCTAGTCAATCATTTAATGGTGTCTCTCCTCTTTAACTTGTTAAGTGCTAGTGAAGATAGGAAATACTAGTGACCATGTTGTATTATCCAGGTATTTGCACTCCAGGGTCATCAGTTAAAAAAAAGGTGTCGACACTATAATTTTAGCGGAAAATTGTGACATAATCTCACTTCATCATTTCATGACAAATATAAGATTAAATTATACCTATAAGAAATACAAATAATGTTTCCATAAATGTAATCATTTCTTTTTCAGATTCCCCCAAAAACACCACAGTGTCAGTCAGTCCTTCTGGTCCAGTACCAGAAGACAGCAATGTGACTCTGACATGCAGTAGTACTGCCAACCCAGCAGTAAGGAACTACACCTGGTACAGAGCTGATGGAGGCCAGGAGACTTTTATTGGGACCGGACCTGTTTTAAACATTAAAGCTTCTGAAGTCAGTGGTCCTTTTTTCTGCAAGGCTGAAAATGATCTTGGAGCTGGACGATCCAACATCAGTCAAATAGACGTTCAGTGTATGTATCAAATTTTAAACTATAAATGCTTTATATACTCTGATAGGTCTAGCTGTATGCAGTACACTGATTTACAAATAATAATATGTTTTCATTAATTGGCTAATTTAAATATTTAAAGGGGAACTTGGCAACTATTTCAACTTAATAAACCCGTTTAGAAATCATTTGGATGCTTAAATGGCCTGTTCCGGTGAAAATGGTGACTTTCCCCGCCCCCCCTAGCGTCCCCAGGCGGAAAACCAACCTTGCAACTTTTGGACTACCGTCCAGTTAAGTTGGAAATAGGAAGTATCGTGAGAAGCGAGAACAAGCGAGCAACACGAACTGCTTTACAGCAATTCCACATAAACACACACACCCCCCTCAATACCAGTTAGCCACGCCAGCTATAAGAACAAGTGACAATGAATGTATTACCCACCTCGGTAGACATTGCTCCACACGAAAAAGTTGCCCGGCAACAAATGCACATCAGCAGCGGTAGAAAGGGGGAGGAGGGTGCCACAAGTGAGTTTTTTTACAACAGTGTTTTGAAATATACGTCCCAGAGCTGTAGGGGGAGCTCATTGAGAAAACATGCAACGACAAAAGTGAAAACCAGCGAAGAAATGGCTAGAGTTGCCAAGTTCCCCTGTAAGGTATGTTTAGGATTTTAAAATGTCCAACTTTAGCACCACTGTGTCGTCTCGCAGGTTCTTGTCGATCCTGGTGGAGCCTCCTGCCATGGTCCTGCTAGATTGCCATTGCCAATACTGTTGTTGCTGTGCACCTGTCTGTCTCTCTCTCTCTCTCTCTCTCTCTCTCTCTCTCTCTTTCTCTCTCTCTGCCTCTCTCTCTCTCTCTCTCTCTCTCTCTCACCCCAACTGGTCGAGACAGACGACCACCCACCTAGAGCTGAAGGATCTGTCCTAGGTTTCTGCCTTTTAACAGGCAGTTTTTCCTTGCCCTTGTCGCCAAGTGCTTGCTCAAGGTGGTACTGTTGGGTCTCTGTAATTAATGTTATAAAGAGTTCGGTCTAGACCTGCTCTGTTTGAAAAGTGTCCTGAGATAACTTCTGTTATGAATTGGCGCTATACAAATAAAATTGATTTGATTTGATTTGATTTTGATTCTCCAAAAATAGACTTTTGCATTCCACCTTACTTGTGAATACTTTTCAGTTTACAATATCGCACATGTTAATACAAGCTAGTCAATTATTTAATGGTGTCTCTCCTCTTTAACTTGTTAAGTACTAGTGAAGATAGGGAATACTAGATACCATGTTGTATTATTCAGGTATTTGCACTCCAGGGTCATCAGTTACAAAAGGTGTCGGCACTATAACTTTAGAAGAAAAATCGTGGCATAATCTACCTTCATTATTTCATGACAAACATCAGGGCAAATTACACCTATTGATAATACAAATAATGTTTCCATAATGGTAATCATTTGTTTTTCAGATTCACCCAAACACACCACAGTGTCAGTCAGTCCCTCTGGTCCAGTACCAGAAGACAGCACTGTGACTCTGACATGCAGTAGTACTGCCAACCCAGCAGTAAGGAACTACACCTGGTACAGAGCTGATGGAGGCCAGGAGACTTTTATTGGGACCGGACGTGTTTTAAACATTAAAGCTTCTGAAGTCAGTGGTCCTTTTTTCTGCAAGGCTGAAAATGATCTTGGAGCTGGACGATCCAACATCAGTCAAATAGACGTTCAGTGTATGTATCAAATTTCTACCTCAAAATGCTCTATATACTCCGATATGTCTATCTGTATGTACACTGATACACATATAATAATATTTTATTATTAATCTGTTTATTTAGATATTTAGGTGATAAATTAAATGCCAAACTTTAATACCCCCTGTGTGTTTATCAAAAAAGAGATTTTTGTATTCCACCATACTAGATAATACTTTTCAGCCAACAATATCACACACATGTCATGACTGGCTAGTCAATCATTTAATAGAGGCTTTTCTTGTCAACCCATTAAGCACAGTAGTTTGAGGAGGCACATGTTGGTCGTAGGTCACATGTTGCATGTAGCCCCTCAAGATTCAGTTGGGTAGTCCAATAAGTGTGTGTTGGTGCAGCAAGGGAGCTGGCTGTTGTTTGCGTAAAACTTTCTCTTGATTGAACACATATATTAGAAATTACAATGAAACACATAATAATATTTACGTTTAATTCCTTTTTTTTCAGATTCACCCAAACACACCACAGTGTCAGTCAGTCCCTCTGGTCCAGTACCAGAAGACAGCACTGTGACTCTGACATGCAGTAGTACTGCCAACCCAGCAGTAAGGAACTACACCTGGTACAGAGCTGATGGAGGCCAGGAGACTTTTATTGGGACCGGACCTGTTTTAAACATTAAAGCTTCTGAAGTCAGTGGTCCTTTTTTCTGCAAGGCTGAAAATGATCTTGGAGCTGGACGATCCAACATCAGTCAAATATATGTTCAGTGTATGTATCAAATTTCAAACTCAAAATGCTCTATATACTCTGATAGGTCTAGCTGTATGCAGTACACTGATTTACATATAATAATATGTTTTCATTAATTGGCTTATTTAGATATTTAAGTTATGTTTAGGATTTTAAAATGTCCAACTTTAGCACCACTGTGTTGTTCTCCAAAAATAGACTTTTGCATTCCACCTTTCTAGTAAATCCTTTTCAGTTTACAATAACTCACACGTTAATACAAGCTAGTCAATCATATAATGGTGTCTCTCCTCTTTAGCTTGTTAACTACTACTAAAGATATGAAATACTAGTGACCATGTTGTATTATCCAGGTATTTGCACTTCAGGGTCATCAGTTAAAAAAAGGTGTCAGCACTATAATTTTAAAAGAAAATCGTGACATAATCTCACTTAATTATTTCATGACAAATATAAGATCAAATTATACCTATAAGAAATACAAATAATGTTTCCATAAATGTAATCATTTCTTTTTCAGATTCCCCCAAAAAACACCACAGTGTCAGTCAGTCCTTCTGGTCCAGTACCAGAAGACAGCAATGTGACTCTGACATGCAGTAGTACTGCCAACCCAGCAGTAAGGTACTACACCTGGTACAGAGCTGATGGAGGCCAGGAGACTTTTATTGGGACCGGACGTGTTTTAAACATTAAAGCTTCTGAAGTCAGTGGTCCTTTTTTCTGCAAGGCTGAAAATGATCTTGGAGCTGGACGATCCAACATCAGTCAAATAGATGTTCAGTGTATGTATCAAATTTTAAACTATAAATGCTCTATATACTCTGATAGGTCTAGCTGTATGCAGTACACTGATTTACAAATAATAATATGTTTTCATTAATTGGCCAATTTAGATATTTAAAGGGGAACTTGGCAACTATGTCAACTTAATAAACCCGTTTAGAAATCATTTGGATGGTTGAATGGCCTGTTCCGGTGAAAATGGTGACTTTCCCCGCCCCCCCTAGCGTCCCCAGGCGGAAAACCAACCTTGCAACTTTTGGACTACCGTCCCGTTAAGTTGGAAATTGGAAGTATCGTGAGAAGCGAGAACGAGCGAGCAACACGAACTGCTTTACAGCAATTCCACATAAACACACACACCCCCCTCAATACCGGTTAGCCATGCCAGCTATAAGAACAAGTGACAATGAATGTATTACCCACCTCAGTAGACATTGCTCCACGCGAAAAAGTTGCCCGGCAACAAATGCACATCAGCAGCGGTAGAAAGGGGGAGGAGGGTGCCACAAGTGAGTTTTTTTACAACAGTGTTTTGAAATATACGTCCCAGAGCTGTAGGGGGAGCTCGTTGAGAAAACATGCAACGACAAAAGTGAAAACCAGCGAAGAAATGGCTAGAGTTGCCAAGTTCCCCTTTAAGGTATGTTTAGGATTTTAAAATGTCCAACTTTAGCACCACTGTGTTGTTCTCCAAAAATAGACTTTTGCATTCCACCTTACTAGTTAATACTTTTCAGTTTACAATATCGCACAAGTTAATAAGCTAGTCAGTTATTTAATGGTGTCTCTCCTCTTTAACTTGTTAATGACTAGTGAAGATAGGAAATACTAGTGACCATGTTGTATTATTCAGGTATTTGCACTCCAGGGTCATCAGTTACAAAAAGGTGTCGGCACTATAACTTTAGAAGAAAATTGTGACATATTCTCACTTCATTATTTCATGACAAATATAAATGTAAATACCTAAATTAAACCTATAGAAATACACATAATGTTTCCATAATTGTAATCATTTGTTTTTCAGATTCACCCAAACACACCACAGTGTCAGTCAGTCCCTCTGGTCCAGTACCAGAAGACAGCAATGTGACTCTGACATGCAGTAGTACTGCCAACCCAGCAGTAAGGAACTACACCTGGTACAGAGCTGATGGAGGCCAGGAGACTTTTATTGGGACCGGACCTGTTTTAAACATTAAAGCTTCTGAAGTCAGTGGTCCTTTTTTCTGCAAGGCTGAAAATGATCTTGGAGCTGGACGATCCAACATCAATCAAGTAAAGGTTCAGTGTATGTATCAAATTTCAAAATTAAAATGCTCTATATACTCTGATAGGTCTAGTTGTATGCAGTATACTGATTTACAAATAATAATATGTTTTCATTAATTGGCTAATTTAGATATTTAAGGTATGTTAAGGATTTTAAAATGTTCAACTTTAGCACCACTGAGTTTTTATCAAAAAATAGATTTTTGCATTCCACCCTTTGAGTTTATCCTTTTCTACAATATCACACACATGTTAATACAGGCTAGTCAATCATTTAATGGTGGCTTTCCTCTTTGACTTGTTAAATATTAGTGACCATAGGAAATACTAGTTACCATGTTGTATTATTCAGGTATTTGCACTCCAGGGTCATCAGTTACAAAAGGTGTCGGCACCATAACTTTAGAAGAAAAATCGTGGCATAATCTACCTTCATTATTTCATGAAACATATCATATCAAGTTAGACCTATGAATATTACAAATAATGTTTCCATAAGTGTAATCATTTCTTTTTCAGATTCACCCAAACACACCACAGTGTCAGTCAGTCCCTCTGGTCCAGTACCAGAAGACAGCAATGTGACTCTGACATGCAGTAGTACTGCCAACCCAGCAGTAAGGAACTACACCTGGTACAGAGCTGATGGAGGCCAGGAGACTTTTATTGGGACCGGACCTGTTTTAAACATTAAAGCTTCTGAAGTCAGCGGTCCTTTTTTCTGCAAGGCTGAAAATGATCTTGGAGCTGGACGATCCCATATCAGTCAAATAGACGTTCAGTGTGAGTATCACATGATTACAACTGTTTATTTTACTGACTGAAACCCCACCTGTACTCAGAGGGCTGTTCGCTTGTTTATTCAAAGTTTATTAACATTGAATGTGTCCCATATCCAAATTGTGCCAAGTTTGACACTACACTTCCTTGGGTCCCCAGAGATACAGTCATTTTTGCTAACTTGATTAAACATGACTTTACTTGACTCTTAACTTGTCGGTCTTCTCTATATTCATTACAGTTGCTCCACAGATCCTGTTCTCCTCTGATTGCACCAAAACTGCAGACCAGCTCAACTGTTCCTGTGAGACTGTGGGAAAGCCTTCTCCCACTTTACAGTGGTATTTGGATGGGTTACCTTTCAATCACTCGGACAAGTTTGCAATCAGCAATAAGCCTCTGAATGAGACAAGTCTGAGGAGCATCATCACTGTGAATCAACCACAATGGAGGAATCTTTCCACTTTGTTCTGCCGCAGCTCCAACTCTGTGGGATCTGCTACTCAGAGGTTTTATGTCTACAGTGTTGAGCCTCAAACATCTGCACAAAGTCACGGTATGTGTTTATGTAAGTTTTATTGATTAGTTGAAAATGTTCAGGTTTTCTAAACATTTTTATCGTATTAATTCATTTATTTATTTGATTAATGATATCAGCATACTGTAATATTTCCTCAATTTGTGTTTGAAATACTGAATCAGAAATGCCCCAAAATATTTTCTACTGCCACATTAATTGTAAACATGGCCAGTAATACACTGTAACTAATCCACAAGCATCTTCTTTTTTAATGAAATGTTTTCACAAAGTTACACAGACATACGTCTTTCTTTCTTGATAAAAAGAAATCTAATCTTCCACTGTCCCTTGTATGTTTCAGACCAAGTGAAAATGACAGTCTCCATCATCATAGTTGTCGCACTGCTAGTAGTAGTATGTGCTCTGCTGTTAGTCATCAGGTACGGTAACAGCTTGAGACAAAATGTTCAGACATACCCTTCCACACACAACTGCTATTGTTTTACTAACTTTTACTTGGCCTCCCTTTTCAACTGTGAGTGCAAATGCTGACATTATGCAGTGTTTGTTTGGGTCTTCATCCACCAGAACAAATTTAACACTTAAAATATTTTGTGCTATATATGGACACCATGTCCTGAGGAGACCTGGGACCTCATTTATATAACAGACTTAAGATATATTTTTGATCTTTATTATGACTTTGTTATATGAACTATGTACAAGTAGTTATTTATAAAACCTTACTTTGATGTAGAAATTATCTTATCTCTGGTTATGAAGGGGTATTGAAGTTTGGGACACATATGCACCCAAGCCTGTGGTGAACAATGTGATAGGACTCATGAGCATCTAGTTATATACCTGCGGATGCAAGATTATGGCATCTCTTTCATAATAAACCTCAGTTCATTCCATTATTATGTATAAACATATTTATTTTCATTGTGTTCTGGACTGGAGTGACAGAGAAAAGGCAAACAGACGGGCAACACCTTCCTGCCATTAGAAACTGAGTACAATTAGATGATTATTAGCCTGATCAACCACTCCATACATTATTATTAATAACCCTTCAGTGCAAGAATTATACAATGGGAAATTGTATTTGAAATGTATAGATCACAGGTGCATACTTTTCAAATGAGCATATAACCTGCATGAGCTAGTATCTTTTATGAAGTGAACGTAAGTTCAAGTGAGGCCCCAGGTCCTGTCCAAAAGCAACAAGTCATTTTCATCAAACTGCCACTGCAAAATCAACAACAAGCTATCAATAGTGCAGACACTATAAAATTAACTTAGCCTTTGTTTTAAAATTAAACTAGTGAGTAATATTCATGTTGTGATGTGATTTTCATTTCCTTTCTACTTTCTCTGTGATCAACGGTTTCATCCTGTTGATTAATAAATGAGCAGTGGGAAAAGATGAATCAAATATAACTATGTAGGTTAAATGTTCTACTGTATTTTTCAGAGCTCAGAAGACTCGCCATAACCTTCCTAAGGGCACCGTCGTTGTGAGTGAACTTCTAACAAGTGGAGAAGGAAACGAGGTACAGGGCCGTTTTCTACTTAGAACTAAGTAATTAAGTTTGGATTAGCAGAGTATGTGTACCATTGATGTCTTCTCTTTAATTGCAGGTACCCAACACAACAGAAGACGACATTTATGTCAACGCCAGTGTGCTGAGACAGGAAGACGTCGCCCATCCTGCAGCTGTCTCTGAGCCAAACAACGGCGACTCGCCAAGCTCTGGGCCAAACAATGCAGAAGGAGCCGATAAAAACTCAGAGAAGAAGAATGAAGGAGGCAGCGACGTGGTTTACGCGAGTGTGGACTGGAAGAGCAAGAGCAAGAAGAAGAAGAAGGAAGAAGACGCTGTGGACATGGATCAGCCTGGTAGCTCCTATCTTGAGGAGGAGAGGTGCATGGTGGGAGGCATGAGCAGAAATTATGTGAGCAATGCAATGGAGATGGGAAGCCTATATGACAATGTAGAGCCTAGAAATGTGAAGAGGGAAGTGGAATGTGAATATGCCCAGGTTCAATTTAAAAAAAAAAGTGAGAAGAAATAGATCACACTTCTATATTGCTCTGCCTATTTTTAAAACAATATATTCAGAATGTCTTGTTCTCTTGTACATACGTTTCCATACGTTTTCCATTTGCTTTTTGTTGTTGCTTTGAAACAGAATTTCAAATGTACAGAATTATGTTTAATTGTTTTTAAGTTCATGGTGTTTTTAACATTGTGCAGATTTTGTGTCACTGAATAATTTTGTTTTATGTGCATAATATACTGTATTTTTATATATAATTTTAAGTCATATAATTATGTTTGGCATGTGTAAATTGACAGATACTCTTCTGTTTTACATCTATTTAGTAGTTTTGGGATATTTTGTTTATTATATTATTTTGAACATTAGATTTTTGTTGAAACATACCTTGCTGTAGGTGTATAAACGCAAAAAAGAGCACAATAAATAAAAAAATATATGGTCTCTACATTCTTCTTCATGTTTAGAATTATATGTATATTCTTTCAAGCCAATAGCTAAACGTTTCCATCAATCTGGAATTTTGTATTTAATCTCTTTTAATGCATCTTACCCTGGCCCTAGTGTTTCAAAAATGCACAAATGGTGGACTGTTCAACACCAGATTTTAGAAACAGGCCTCTCTTTCGGCTGTCTCACTGTTCAGGTTGACAGATTTAAATTAGCGCAGCAAGTTTCCTGTTTGAGACTGAATAGAACAGAGGGGGTGTACAGGGGATTAAGTGGTGGTAAAGTGGTAGGCTTGACCACAGTAACAGATCAGTGGGCCATCACAGACACATTCATGTAGCGGCTCTGACAAGGTAAGCCCTCTTGTCTTTACAACGCATAGGGGAAATATGAATCCAGACTATTTTTCAAATTCCCAAAACTGCTTTCTGATGAAATGTTACAGAATAATGGTTTAACATTGTTACAGCTGCTGTGTTCAGAAATTAAGAGGTCAAAAGGTGACTCACTGACTGCTGTACAGCCGCTACTTTCTTCATGGGGACTGCTCATCTGCTCAAACTGCTAAGCTTGTTTACGGGTAATATTAAGTTTCATCTGGTTGTACCACTGTTGCAGAAAAGATAACACAATTAGCTAATATTTCAAATATTAGTGTCATCTTAAAATTGTTATACCAAACTTCTGGGAAAAACCTGCATAATTCTCACATTCTGACAAAAAAATATAGCAACTGCTGATGCTCTTCATTATTATTAGAACCTTGTAGTACTGTAAATACATTCACTACCTAAAACAAAGTCTTAATTGTGTGGAAATGTACATTGTTGTACGGAAGCTGGGAACAGCCATGGATTTATTTATTTTTTATGCACTGTTATATATATACTGATAACGACTTATTATCTCATTATCTCGATATAACAAAGATCGTTTTCACGTGATAACTAATTAATTAATAATGTGTCCGTCTTGATTTCAACCTACAAGAGCTGCCACAACGGCTTCCAGTCAAGTAAACAAACTAAAGTAAAAAAAGAATGGAAGCCGTTCGTGGCAGCTCTTGTACCAAAGTTTGTTTTCTCGAGATAACGGCTTCCATAACCACTGGCCGTAGCTGTAGCCGACCGGTAAGTTACGGAAGCCGTTCGTGGCAGTGCATTACATTGAAGTCAAGACGAACACATTATTAATTTGTTATCACGAGAAAACGATCTTTGTTATGTCGAGATAACAAAATAATGAATTCGTTGTCTCGAGAAAAAGAACTTTGTTATCTTGAGATAACGAAATAGTAAGTCGTTATCACGAGATAACAGTGCATAACATTAAATTTAAAATCCATGGCCGTTCTCGGCTTCTGTATTGTTTAATTATAAGGTAATCAATAAAAAGTATTTAAAGGGTTTGCAGCTTTTCTGATATTGTTAAAAGTGTTTTATAATAATATTTTCAATGTAGCGTATCTGCATATATGAAATGTTTTAACTTTGCTTCTGGGACATCATTGTTACATTTTTTCTCATGATAATGTAATGCCCTAAATACTGCCTCAAACTCAGCTTTGTGGTTAAACTGCTTTTGCAGTTTCAAATTGTGTCACTTTTTTTTCTCGTTCAACCACAAAAATAGCATCATGAAAAACCACAACTAACACTTGTTATCCTCTATACTACCCCTCCTCCTCATCTCACCCCACAAAGGTATCTCAGTGCTCCAGCAGGTCAGAAGCTGGAGTATCACACTACCAAAAACAGTTACCGCAGTGGAGGGGAGCTGTGTTGTGGTGCCATGTCAGACACAACCTCATTCCCGGGTCATCTGGTACCAGTACCATGACATAAATTACCCTGTAGTATTTGATGGACTTCACCCTCATGCAACAGTACAACAGTTCAAAGGACGCACCTCAGTACTGGGTAAAGCTGCAGAGGGTAACTGCACCCTGAGGATTAATGATGTGACAAGAGCAGACAACGTTCAAATTTATGTTTGGATCAACCCAGACTCTAAAACAACTCAGAAATTCCATTATCAAACTGTAACTATCTTAGTAGGTAAGTATTTGTAAATTTACATTTAATTTGGTGTCTGAATTGAAAATTTAGAAAGAGTCAGTTTGCAGGTTGCATTCATTCCCTTAACGAGTAACTAAACCATCAGAATTTTTTTTTTTAGATGAAAACCTATTTGTTTTTTTATGAGTTTATATTTAATAGTGTTGTTGATCCATTAAGGTCCAAATCTTCACATTTTAGTACAAAGTATTTGAATTTTACATATTCTTCTATAAATTTGCATTGCTACGGCCCTCTCCTGGTTGAAACCTGGCTATTGGAATTTAATTTTGCTATTGGCTGATCTGGAGGCGCGTGACATGTGTGGTGGCAGCTTTTATCACTAAACAAACCCCCGTCCCCGCCCCATCCTATAAAACCAACTCTGCAGACTGTGGCCTGCTAGGCCAAACTGACACTCCCACACAGACACCAGAGAGTTGCAGAAACTTTTATATATATATATAGATAGTGTGTGTGTGTGTGTGTGTGTGTGTGTGTGTGTGTGTGTGTGTGTGTGTATAACTAAAAAAGATACATGCATAATAGATACTTGACTTACTTAACACTTAACAATGTATTACAGCATCCAGGAAAAAAACACTGCACAGTTAACTGACCACAGCCACACACATTTGGACAGAGAGAAACAGAAAGAAAGTTTCACTTTACTTCCACATTATTAAGTTGCTGATTACATGTGATTGCTTCACAGTTATTGATCCTAAACATTCCTAATTTGATCTGCACCGTACTCCAAACTGGGATGAATGTAACATAAAAGGATAACCTTACCACCCTGAATCAAATTCACATACACCATTTTTGAAATAGTACATCTGACTTACACAACGGTTTATCTAGAAATTGAAACTATTTTAATTAATAATAAACTATTTCTATTTTCAGTATGTTGTTTGCATTATCTCTTTGTTTTGACTTCCAGAGAAAAAAGCTCCCACAATCTCCATTCAGAAGCAAATAGTGGATGGGGAACTTTTCCAAGCTATCTGCAGTGTGTACTTCTCCTGCCCTTTCTCACCCCCATCAATTGAGTGGAGTCAATTTCTGGAAAACTCCAATGTAACAGCTAAAATGGAGAAAGTCCAAGGGCAATGGTTGTACACAGTGACACTGCAGAGGCTAGCAACATATACAATGCATGACAGAAAAATACATTGTTGTGCAAAATTCAGAACTTTCAGCACAGAAAGTCAACAAATAATACTCAGCATTTTATGTAAGTGATACAGTTTGCCTGTTCAAAATACATTAAACGACATTTAATTTTGACAAAGTGCATGTCACTGTCTTACTGCTTGTATGTTAAGATTTCCTTTATCCACAGATAAACCTGTGACTGTGACCCTGATGACTGAAAAAGAACCGGTAATGGAGGGTGACAACGTTATCATGGAGTGTGCCGCTAACTGTAACCCACCACCACACAAGTACTCGTGGCTCAAAAGACAGATGGGTCAGATCACAAACGTAACTTCACCTCAGAGTAAAATGTTCTTCAGCAACATTACGCGAGATACTTCTTTCTCCTGCATCGCTCACAATGACATTGGAGCCGGGCAGTCCGACTGGTTGGATCTGGATGTTCAATGTAAAAATCTCCTCTACTGTTCCACAAGTTACTGATATAATCCTAATTTAAATTAATAATTTAAGTGAAATAAGATGGATTTAACATGTTAACATCAGGCAAGATTAATTAAATTAATTAAGGATGGACCAGTTAAGTTAAGGAGTTAAGTTGCGTTAATTTTGAAGTTTTTGATCATATCACACAATCGTTGTTTGCAGATGGAGTGTCAGTTATCATGCAAAACTCCATCTGCTGAGGAAGACCTTATGATAGACAACGTAACGCTAATACTAAATGGGCCCTATGGGGAGAAAGTTTAACAACTCCATCTGCTGAGGAAAACCGTGTAATTCAATTGAAACGTCCAGGACAGCTATTACAAGGACATGGTGGTGAGACTGTTTAGCATGAGCAACAAAATTTAGGAACAGGACCAAGCCGGTAGCTAGGCATTCAAGAGCACTGACATCAAACCAGAGCAAACACAACTGAATACACACCAAAACCATGCACTGGCACACACTGACAGTAGGAGAATCGACTCCTGTGTTCCTACCACGGACATTTCCAAGGTTGGGAAAACATAAAAGACTGAGGCAAAATAATGGCAGTGGATAAAAATAAGCTTTACTTACTATGAAGATAAACCTGGGGGCGGGGTGTCGGTATTATCCCAGGAAATCGTTAATATCCCTCATGTCCTCAGTGCACCTGCGTGGCTGAGGGTTGCCGCCCAATAAACATTATTTGTTTAAACATTATTTTTACATTTACCTCTTTATTTTGTGTACACAGTAGCAGACATGGAACATGGGGAGAGAGATAGGGCTGACCTGCAGTGTTCAATTCAGGGATGTTATGAATTCGCTAAGATGCCCCAAGAATATTCAGTGGAAACAAATGAACAGCCATTTTTGCTCCTAATCTCCTAAACAGATCAAATCAGATTTTTGCTTTTGAATGTTTTTTATCTTTGACTTATAAATCACAGGGGTTTGATTATTGGTTAAATAACATTTTTGTTCCATCTTTAGATATTCCAGTTATTCTACCTGAGTCCTCCTGCAACCTGACAGGGGAAGTTCTGAAGTGTGTGTGCCAGGCTGAAGCGTCCCCTAATGCTTCTTTATACTGGACCATTGATGGAAATGACACTCTGCCATCCTCCTTCAGCTTTTTCTCCACAAACAAGAAAAATGTGGTCTCTGGAGTACTGAGTGGCTCAGCTACAAGCCAGTCTAATATATCTTGCACTGCCACCAACTCCTTGGGCAGCAGCACCAAACAGCTTTCTATAGAAAGCTTGTCAAAAACATGTAAGTTACTGTACTCTGGGTCGTGTTTTTTTTATTTACCAAAAAGCAGATTCACCATTCTTTTGGGTATCATATTTACTAATTGAGCTATTTTCCTTTTACAGCCTCTTTGTTCATGTGGTTGATACCTTTAATACTCTTGGGTATTGCTTTGCTGTTTGGATGTGCGATGTTAATTTACAGAAAATATTATAGAAACAGGTTGGTAGACTTCACTCCTTGTAATCAACAATGACTGTGCAGCTCTGATTAATCTTTGTATTATTACTATGTTACTGGCAGACGAACACCGGGCTTTACGTGCAGCATTATGCTTTCAAGGTATAAAACCGGAGTTTTGTGTTTATAGTGGACAATGATTAATTTTAAATTTGCGGAATTCAAATATTTTTGCATTTTTTAAGGTCACAAAGTGTCCAACAAGAATACCACATTCCTGAAAGGTAAAGAAAAGTATTTTCTTCTCATTCAGTTCAAAATGTGGCTTTTACTGTTGATATGATATTGAGTAATTAAGGAGCCTATTCAAATGTTATTAGGTTTTCAACATTTACATATTATATGCATTATGTGCATCCCAACCACCCCACCCCTGCCCACACACACACACACACACACACACACACACACACACACACACACACTTCTAAGTCTACTTAATTCAATTCAATAACCGTAGCTATATTAATATTAATAATAATAATAATAATAATAACAATAATATCAGTGATATTAGAAATGTCAGTCAAGCAGGACCATGGCAGGAGGCTCCACCAGAATCCATAAGAACCTTCGAGACGAGAAAGCACAAGAACTCCGGGGAAGAAGTAAAGTTAGTAACATGCATTATTGGGACATGAATGAGTGCAGAAAGAGAGAGGAAGAGAGGAGCTCGGTGCACCATGGGAAATCCCCCGATAGTCTAGGCCTATAGCACCATAACTAAGGGATGGTTCAGGACTCACCTGATCCAGCCCTTACTATAAGCTTTATCAAAGAGGAATGTCTTAAGCCTACTCTTGAATGTGGTGAGGGTGTTTGCCTCCCGAACCACAACTGGAAGCTGGTTCCACATAGTCTCTACTTTTAGAGACTATAGGAACCACAAGTAGCCCAGCATTCAGAGAACGTAGTGTTCTAGAGGGGTAATAGGGTACTATGAGCTCTTTAAGATATGAAGGGGCCTGACCATGAAGAGCTTTATAGGTGAGGAGGAGAATTTTAAATTATATTCTAAATTTTACAGGGAGCCAGTGCAGAGAAGCTAGTACAGGAGAGATGTGATCTCTTTAATGTATTGTACACTTGCTTTGGCAATGTAAAAGTCTGTTTCCCATGCCAGAAAAGCTCAACAAAGGTTATTAAGAGTATCAAGAATAATAATAAATGAGGCCAAACTAAAAAAATAAAGATTCTATAGCAATTCCACAAAGTGAATTAATTAATTAATTCTTGTAGTGTAAGTATTATTAAAGTATGCCAGGAATGGTTGCAGTACTGTTTGGAATTTATTAACCAACCTAACCTTGAGTGCTATATCTGAGCTTTTAATTTGTTTCAATTCAATTCAGTTTTATTTTTATAGTGCTAAATCATAACATAGGTTATCTCAGGACACTTTTCAAATAGAGCAGATCTAGACTGTATATCCTTATAAAGTGTTTTATAGACCCAACAATTCCCACCACGAGAAAGCGCTCGAAGTTCAGATGACCCAGCAACTATACATATGAGGGGAATTAGATTTCCAATTACAGAGAATAAGACATCATGTTAAACTGATGAGAAAGCAACAACGCGCGGCCTCGAGAGAGATGGATGTGATATTGATAACGTAGTGGAAAAAGACAGTCAAGTGTGACATCACACATCCCTATTTTGTTATTGTTTTTGGTCTCTCCTTAATATACATACATACATACATACAAAAGTCAAAGAAAAGTTTTTGTCATTATGAGCCATGTATTGATGTGCAGAGAATTTAATAAGATTCAAGAAATTTAAAGAATCTAATTGGCTCTCTGCTGGTTTCTCACTTCATCATCTTCTTCTTCTCTTTCTCTATTAGATCACAAGATGAAAACACACAATCAAGACCATGCAGACCGGAGAGTAACCCTGAGGTAGACTGTGTTTATGATAATGATATTGCGGTAGAAATGCAACAACAGCACCAGAACAATGCAACAGCAAGAGGAGGCCTAACTCAGCCAAAGGTGCAGTAAATGTTACTGATGAAAAATGATCACTTATTTTATGCATAGAATACATGTAAAATATATTATACATTGATCCGACTTTGACTCTAGAACTAAATAACTCAAATCAAATGTGATTATTAGCTTTTACTGGTGCCATGGATTGTTTTGTTTCTACACACTGAGCTGTTGTTTTCAAGTCACACATATTAGCTTTCTTTTTCTCCTGTGGCCTTATTGCTCAAGCATTGAGAAATATTAAAACTATACATTTTGACTTCCCACAGGGTGTGTACTGCAACATGAGTGACTATCTGAACTGCTGATCAGAGGATATCTGCTGCTGCTCTCACATAGTAGGCACCATATAGTAGTTCCCACTTACATGCATTGCTTAAATCAAATGAACTGGTGTCATATTTATGTGCTGCAGTTTCCTTTCACACAGATTTGTCAGACATGAGAATGGCTAGTTGTGTAAATATTTAATCTTTAAGATATCATTCATATTGACTGTAATATTGCAAAATATCTTGAATTACATACACAGTAGTGCCTGTGATATAAAGGGGTCTGTGTTTATTTCCTGTTGCAGTATTAACTGATGCTAATGTAAATATGGTTGACAGGAAGGAAACCAGCATTCAACCTGTTTCCAGGCAACAGAAAACAGATCTACTGTAGGCTAAAGTTTGCTATGTACTGTATGTGTAGCTATTCTCCATATTGGTGCTGAAACCACCTAAACTTAATTTCTAGTAATGATGGCTCACTGAACTTGAACTCAGAAAAGGATGTCCTAATTTGGATGGCTATGTGGAAACAAAATTCATGTGAAAGGAACTTGTGGTGTAGGCGTAAGTTTAGATAAACACAGGCTCATGGCTTGATGAAATCCAAACCTAATTATAATGTTCCGGGTTTATTCCGGCAGAGATCTAGTGGGAGGAGGTCCTTTATTAACATATCCAATATAAAAGTCAACATGAGCTTCAGTTTTGCATTTTAGTTAATATTAACCAGCTGCTGTGTGCTTGTTGCTCTGTATAGAATGGATAGAGAAGTGTGTCACACAGGATTTGAAAATGACTTGTTGTTTCCGGCTTATTACATTTTATATCATCTCATCTTTGAACTCACAAGTTATAAACGAGGTGTCTTTGCTTAAAGACACAGAGATTTAGTTGTTGTTCAAGCCTTAGCATTTTGGAAAACATCTACTTCCAGGTAAGTAAATATGTTTAACTTATCAAACATATTATATCAGGCATTGCAGATCCTTTCTTTCTATGGAAATTCCACATCTGGTGTTTGGTTGAGAGCTGATTGTTGCTTATTTGTTTTGGAATTGTTCTGGGATTGGAGTCATGAAAAGCCATTTTTGTAACTAACGTTGCCCATTCTGGGACGGCTGCAAACACAACAGAGATATCAACAATATGTGCAAGAAGTGAAACCTAATCAGTAATATCTTTGACCAGATACACAAAACAAGTTTAAATAAACCTGTAACTCCACCAAAATGTATAATTTAGTTATTGTCTTGTGACAGACTATTATCTAGTAATTTTTATTATTGTGTTTTTGGTGGTGTGGCTATCTTGTGGTTTATATTTACTTATATAACTGGCACTTACAAATTATGTGGTTGTTCAAACCTGTTTTATATTCCCTGTTCATTGGTTATCTGGACCACAGCACGCATACTGTCGTGGTGTTATTTATCCCCATTGTCATTGATTGTCTGTCATTTTTAACCACCTGTGTCTGTTACTGCTCTTTTGGTTTAGGATCATGGCGGTGGTGGTGAGGAGTGAGGTTATTCTCTCAGTTTACATCATTACCTTCCTGATAGGCCTGCCAGCGAACCTCCTGGCTCTCTATGCCTTCAGTGTTAAGATCCACTCCAAGCCACTACCAACAGACATCCTGCTACTCAACCTGACTGTCTCTGACCTGCTCTTTTTGATCATCCTCCCTCTCAAGATGCATGAGGCGGCGTCAAGCATGAAATGGACTTTGCCCGACTTCCTGTGCTCCATCACCTCCTTCACCTTCTTCTCCACAATCTACACCAGCTCATTGCTGCTGATGGCAGTCAGTGTGGTTCGCTACATCGGGGTAGCTTTTCCTATCGCCTATCATCAGCTGCAGAAACCTGTGTACGCAATAGTTATCAGTGCTGTTATTTGGCTGATCTCAGCTGCACACTGCAGCATTACTTTCATTACCCAGCACCACCCCTCCTTGGCCAGCAACGATGCCAGCGTGTGCTATGAGAACTTCACAACAAAGCAGTTGGACATCCTCCTCCCAGTACGTTTGGAATTTTTCTTTGTGCTCTGCCTTATACCTCTTCTCATTTGTGTTTACTGCTACATGCGCTGCATCTTGATCCTGTACAGCCGTCCTAGGATATCCCGGATGCAGAAGCAGAAGGCCATTGGCATGGCGTCGGGGACTCTAGCTGTGTTTCTCATTTGTGTGCTGCCATACAATGTGTCTCATTTAGTGGGTTACTTCCAGGGTGAGAGCCCAAGATGGAGGTACTACACCCTGCTACTTAGCACCTTCAACACCTGTATTGATCCCATCATCTTTTACTTTTCCTCCTCAACTTTCCACTGCAATAGTGAAAAGTCAATTTTCAGGAAGCGTATAATCGCTGTTTCAGGAGTACAAAAACAGGCAACGAGCTCTGGCTGAGAGCAAAATACACTTTCAATACAATATGTCCATATCTAGATTCAATATTAGTCTTGCACTGTATATTAGTAGTACAGATGTTATCAGAATGTGTAATGCTGTACAGACTGTTTTAACAATTCAGTTCATTTATAAAATAATGTCTCATATCTAGTAGGAATGCACAGATACCACTTTTTTTCCGACCAATACAAGTACACGTACTTACATTTGGGTACTTGCCAAAACCGAGTACTGATATGAGTACAGTTCTACTTTGAAAACATGTTTTATTTTCATCAGATGTTCCTCACTTTCTGAACAAATTAAATGTCGTTAATGTTGTAAAAGTTGCTAAAACAATATCTCCAAACTGTTGGCATTGTTTCTCCTCCTCCACCTCCTACTCCTCCTCCTCCTCCTCCTCCTCCTCCTCCTCCTCTTACATAATGTAACCCTGCCATGAAGTTGTAGTGCAGTACAATTGCATTAGCATAGTATAATCCCTGATATCTGGGTTGGCCACTGAGTAAAATAATATTTTGTTAAGGGTAATCTGATCCTACTTAAAGGGACTGAGCTGCAAACACTGCAAACCATTGTACATAATTTTATGACAAAACCACAAGACATGTTTGGTGCATATGCAAAATTCCAACTTTTATTATTTTACAGTAAATTCTCTAATGGGAATTGCTATCCTTTGCACCCTTGACACATTATTTCCTGTTTATATTAACGTGGGCCAGCCACTCTTCTGCACTCATGCATTCTGTAGGCACACATGTAGAATATACCTGCAAAGCAAAACATAGGTCAGCTATAAAGTGGTATGACGTTTAATTACCACAAAAGCCATTTATGTAGGACACAGATATTTAAAGTACAAAACAATGGCACAATTACTATTGCACAGTTACTTGTTTTTTGATGGCAAGACAAATTTCTTCTCCTTTCTATTTCTTATCTTGTTTATATACATTTTACTGATGTGTAAATATAAAGTGAACATTTTCATGAATGCAAAGCTGATGAGACTGTACTAACTCATAATAAAGAGTTGCAACTTTAGGAATAAGTGTAAATAAATAAAAATTGTGACAAAATAAAAGCATGACAGCATTGTATTTATAATTTTATGATTTCCTTTTCAAGAATTGATGGAGTAATATATTAACTTTCCTTCGTTTCCTTCAATTTATGATAATTTTATATCTATTTTTTACTATCATAAAACAGAGTATTTACACTGTACTCCTTTATTTGAACAAACCTGCAAAGAAGGTCATGAGCAGTGCCACCCAGCCTAGTATGTAGGACCAAGAGAAGCGCCAGTCTCCAAAGCGCTTTCCCAGGAAGTTTACAGTCACCCCGGTGTAAATGGCCATTGCAAGCAGAACAAAGAGAGCTGGTGTGATGGGCAGAGAGAGACATATATTAAAATCAACGTCTGAAATAGGAAGATCATCACACGATATGCAAATTGACTAAATAGTACATCAGTCATGTTGGATTAATATGTCACTACGTTATTCCCGTAATCCACAACTCACTTGAAACAAAGAACATTATCCCAGCAGCAAATGAGCGGTTGAACCTCTCAAAAGCCGAGAAGTGGGCAAAGGAGAGGATTCCTGCGATGATGCCAGCAAAGCATGACATGGCAGAGAGGATCATGAAGGCACGAGTGGCATTCCAGTAGGCTGAGGAGGATTAAAACAAGGGAGAGAACTTACTATAAAGATATGTGCAGGTAGATAAATACAAAGTATAAACCTTTCATATATGGATATGAATGGTTTCATACCAAAATGCACAGTGTCATTTGAACACTCACTGGGAATCGTAATATTTCTACTAACCTCTTAAACATGAACTCATTTTCATTCTATTCTAACTTTTGTCCTTGAACTTGTAAATAGTTCCAATGCACTGCTGGACTCACACAGCAAAAATGATTAACACTTATGCTGTCTGAAGGCAGTCAACACTAAAAGTGAAGATATATAACATGTACAGTTTAGATTAGATTTTCAAAAATGCTGCTCAAAATATTTTGCACACCATTTTACTGCATATTGCATATAGTGTATATATATCTCCTACGGGGATCCATAAAGGTACGTCTTATCTTATGTTGTAAAGGGAAGTTTCACAGTAAATTTTCATCATCTGGTCAGGATGCATGGGGAAGTATATTTACTCCAGTACTGTGTTTAAGTACAATTTTGAGGTCCTGTTTCTTTGAATATTTGCATTTTTATTATGTTAATGCATTTTTTCCATGCCATTTCAGAACTAAACTAGTGAGTCATAACGAGTTATTTCCAAATTTATTTCTCACTCTGTTTGACAGCATTACTGTGTATTCTGTATCACTTTGTGACACAGAATTAAGTTACCAAGGAGGAAGTTCAGAAAGTTTAAATAAAGGTTACCGCTATGATAATCTAAAGATAGATCTTCTAGTCTGCCTGTAGGCTATAAAAGTCATCTCTAATAGATCTCAAGAGTAAGTCACTATAATCACCCGTGTATTCAGATAAGTAAACCTAGACTCTGGTGAGGGTTGCTGTGCCTCAGGGAGACCCAACAGAAATCTTTAAGGGTCACAGAAGATATTTTCCCACTTACCAATGCTGTCAGTCTGCATGTAGCACTTGCCAGACATGCAGTACCTCCACAGGCCCTGATGAGCAAAGCTGCCAGACAGGCGGTACTGCATCCAGTAATCTGTGGCTGTGGAGACCACCAGCAGGATGTTCCCCACGATGGCACAAAATAGGCCCCCTCCCATGAAGCTGTACATCATGAGTGACACTATGACAGTGGTTAAGGCTTCACTGTGCAAATAAGAAAAGATGAGGGGAGTCAGTGGTGCAAGTGAACTTGTAGTATTGAAGTTAATAATTTTCTGTAACACTGCAGCCTTAGTTTTAATGTTTATTCAGTAGTAAATGGGCTTGAATGAAGTAGTAGACACGGAAGCAGACTGCTATGATGCTGGCTGACATTGACACAGGTGGAAATGAGAGTTTATCTTTGGGCTACAGTTAGTGCAACGTGAATTAACATGACATGACATTCATTTACACTGTCTGCCTAGAGTTTCACAACAGGACTGTGGGTTTAAACCACTCTTCCTGGTCACACCATCTTCTCTAACCATTACTTCTTCTCCGGGCAACAGGGTTGAATTTATAGTCAGAAGCGACACCTTCTTGTAGACTGTGAATGCAAAGAGTCAGAAACATTTGCTCAGTTTCTCATTTTAGGGAGATGCTAACCAAAGATACATGAGAGTGTTAGCATTATATCAATTTGTCTTGACTACACAGTCAGCTGTAACAACAAACCACATAACTGAGAGAGCTGCTGGCCTGAACAGCATAATCATACCAACAACAATACAGCTCATAGCAACATGTGCTCTCTCTCACTCTCTGTTTGAACATGTTTTTTTATACTCACTGCTGCCATTAAACAAGACACAAATGTGTACATGTCCTATTCAAAATAGCCAAAGAACACCACAGCCAACTCACACACAACTCACAATGCTGTGAAAGATGGTGATGGCTGATACCAGTAGAGCTCTCAGTTAAACATTGATCAAGGTTTTAAAATAGGAATAATGACAGTGGCTTTAATATAAAGTGGGGTCAAACCCTGTTCCCCCATGTAGCTGCACAGACTGTAATTAGCCATATACTGTTGTAGTATGACATCATGAATTAGCCAAATAAACCAGCATTTCAAAGCACAACATGTCAAACATCTGTATCAACCGGGTCAGTTTTGCTGCTATCAGAGACATCATGCATTATACACACTTGGGTGGAGGGTCTGAACACCACATAGTTATCTGTTAATATGAAAGGAATCAGCTAAATCTTGAATGTCAAGTTGGCATGAAGTCTTAAGAAATGTATTAATAAAACAAAAGGTAATACTGCAATTTATAGAGATTTTGATAAAAACACACGTTGATACAAAGTGGAATGTAAAATATATGAGCTAAAACCCTGAAGGCTTGCTGCTATCACATAAAGAAGACCCTCTCAGTCCATCTGTGAGACATACACTCAGTGGTTAGCATGCCATGATATGCATTCTGCTTTATTATTTTTATTCCCAATTCTTACCATCTAAGTGGCATCGGCAATTAACAAAAGACCCATCATCATCTTACCTGAATTCTTCAGGATATATCAACCCTCTTAAGTATCAGCCTTTCCTCAGGGAAAGAGTGAGAGAGAGTGCAAGCCAGGAGTGAGCGAAACGTCAAAGAGGAAGCCCTAGGCTGAATTCCAAAAAGTTATCCCCTCCACTTTTCTGTTGATGGAGGCAAAATCCTTTAAAACAATCAGCACAGAACAAATGCACTTGAGCTGGTGGGCCAAAAGCCACGTGACTCTTTCACACTGAACTACACGGGAGTATTTTGGGGGTCAGGGGAGAGGGGAGGGGTGATGGTGTTGGGGGATGGGGGCGTTTGGGATATGAGGCCGCTGCACCACAGTCCTTGTCTGTTGTTCTATTAGGTATTCTGGAACTGTGGATGTGCAGAGGCTTGCAGTACTGCTCTGGTCAATGGAACATGCTGAAGTGCACACTTCTTTTCAGTGTGGCTTGGGTGTGGTCACATACACGCTTAAAACAGACACATGACCAAAGAGCTGGTTAATAAAATTACACACTGCATACAGACCGCGTATGTTCACCCTGAATGTGTAATGGTATTATGGAAACACTGCACTGACGGTAAAAGGCTGCTCAGATCTGCCTAATAAAAATATACTGGAAATGTTAACACCTACAGCTTTTACAATATCAGTATTAACACTGCAAGCTATTAGGCATACATCAACAGTCACAGCTGCTACAGTGGATGGATTATTTGAGAGAAGCAATGTGAAGTAATATGAGCACAGCTAATTACATCTCAGATGGTCTGTGTTAATATTCAAGGAACTCTCCCCCTTAGGACACCTGAGCAGTGATTCCATCTTTTGTAATTAATTGCATAATTATTCCATCTATATAACTGTTTTTTGTAAGTAATTGGATGTATTTGACAACATGGTAAATATAAATACAAACACAAAGATAAAAACACAAGATAAAAGCTGTTTTTCCATTGTCTATTCTTCAGCCACAGCTACAGAGGTGTTTCGTTTGCAGTAGCACTCTAGTAGTGTCATCATGTGGTTATTATTTGCGCAACTCATCTCCAGTGTAGACTGCAGTGTCCTTTCCTATTTCTGTAATCGCAATGTTAATTCATCACAGTGTTGACCTCAAATGTGGCAATTGTGTCATGTCTGTTTTGAGTCGTGATCTTCCAATTAATTTAAAAGCTGTTGCTGATGTTTATAACAATATCACTGGACATCTAAGAGAGAAAACAATAAATGGGCACTCCCTTTCCCTTTAAATGGGCATTATGTATTTTGTGACCTTTGCTGACCTCCATCAGCAACCAGTAGGAAGTGCAACAACCCAGACCCAGACAGCACACCTGAATACCGTGTTACCAACATGGAAGGAAGAGTTTGCACTCAGGCAAAATGGTTGCTTTGTCTGAGTTCGACCACTAACACATGATAAATCGTCCTGTGAATTTAAATCATTTGGGTCTGTATTTGAATGTGGAAACAGGCAATGAGCATTAAATAAAATCTTATAAACATTATTTAGGGAGGACTCACACTCTGCACTGTTGGCCCTGCCCTGGGTGTTGACTGATATGTAGTGTGATATGCACTTACTTCTCTAAGAGCTGTGAGAAATACACCCTTGTCTCACAGGAAGTATCTGGCTGAAAGTTTACCATCAGTGGCACATGCAAAAAACACGCTTACACCAACCCAAACCATTGTCTTGTCCACTGAGATGTAGAAATGACAGAAATGGGGAGGATGTGGAATAAAAGATGTGATCAACCTCAACTGCACAAAATAATGACATTGTAAGAGTGGTAAAGTTATCTTTCACACAAGATAAACATTTCTGTGTGGGCTAGACTTCATCAGAATTGTCACACTTTCTCAAATAACCATGCTTCCTCATTTCATCATAAAAAATGTACTTCCTCAAAATGTAGGCTAAATTCTAGCTGTTGACCAGAATTCAAAATCTGAACTTTTTTTTACAGCAATGTTTACACGATCCAGACAAACCTTTAACAGCATTAGAAAACACTAATACCTTTTTAACATGTATTTCTTGTTCTTTCAAATTCCTGTATTATAAGAAATATCAATTATTTAGGTGTTCTAATCCTCTTTTTAATTTTTGATCTTCATTCAGATCAGAGAATGAGCTTTTACAGTGATGTGGCTATCAATGCTGACCTATATTTTTGTAAAACCTTGTAATGTTTTATCATTTAGTTATAGTAGTAAACTGACTCTTTGTAACACTTCCCTCTGGCAGGAGGCTGCGGTCCATTAGGACCAAAACCTTGTGCCACAAAAACAGTTTCTTCCCGTGCTGGCCTCATTAAGGCCCGGAAGCCCCACTGACACTGACTCTTAAACCCACCCTGTATATATGCATTACATTAATGCACTCCCATTGGTTTTTCTATCTTGCACATTGTAAATATCATTCTTGTACAGCTTTAGATCTTTCTATCTTTATTTATATTTAAAAAGTACTTTTAATTTTTTGTGATGCATCAATGTACCAAGGCAAATTCCTTGTATGTATAAAAACTTACTTGGCAATAAACCCAATTCTGATTCTGATATTAGTATATTAGTATAATTAATAAACTAATAATAGTATGAGAAAACGTCAATGGAATTAAAGACAAATGAAACAGAAAATGGAGATACAGGCAGACAAAGACAGTGACAGCTCTATTGTCAACTGCAATTGTCATTACTATTATCTATATTTATTGAAAGGACCAGTCTGTGGGATTAAGTAGCATCTAGCGCTGAAGTTGCAGATTTAAACCATTTGAATATAGCTCGGCCTTCCAAGCATATAGGAGAAACTACGGTGGCTGCGAAACCTGCAAAAAACACAAAAGCCAGTGCCAGTGTTTGGTTTGTCCATTCTGAGCTACTGTGGAAACATGGTGGCCTCTGTGGAAGGTGACCTGTGGCCAATGTAGATAAACAGTTCATTCTAAGGCAACAAAAACACAATAATTCTTATATTCAGGTGATTATACACAAATTAAAACATACCAATAAATATTCAATAAATGTTACAGTCTTTTCAGTTTTCCCATGTGAAGGAATGTTTTCAGCACTGTACAATAGCACCATCTGCTGCACAAATATATATATGCACACACATATATATATATATATAAACATCACAACACCAACTACAAATCTGCTATTTGAATGTGTGTTTTCTCCCAAAAAAAAAAAAAGACATCTGCATCAGGGTATTGCATGTTGCAACACTGACTCACAGCTCAAACTGAGCACTGTTCCCTGGGCGGCACACCAAAAAGAGATGATTTCCTTACACAATGCCTATTTATAATACACAGCAGCATCCTTATTCTTTCCATTGTGCTCTTGAATTGCAAGCGGATACCTGAACCTACCCTTCACCACCTCCAGAAAGAACATTTAAAAGTGTGATTATCAATTCTTTCCATTGTGCTTTTCTTTTTGTTGGGAACATTGTGGTGCTTACCTCTAAATGTCTCTATGTGTTTGCTGCTGTGTATTATAAATAGGCATTGTGTAAGTAATGCAGACGGCTTTTCAAGAGCGCTGTGTGTATTTGGGTGGGTAGAACAAGGGGTGATCCAATGAGACCCTGTCAAGTCAGGTATTTGGCTCTTTAGATTAACTCTCCACTTGTCACTTTCCACCACACCACTGGAAACAGAAAAGAAGCTGATCAAAGTGCAAGCAAATGAAAGGAGATGATGGGATATAATGGTGAGACACACAGTATGAGGATTAGGATGAGCACAACAGCATACTGCATGTCCCTGGAGGAAATCAAACAGATTTGACATCCTGACAAATGTTTCATCTTGTTATCCACCCACTCATGGCCAGGACTGAACCCACATACAGCAGCAGATCACTGTCAAAAAGTATATTGAACACAGCAATGCTTAAAAATAGTAAACATTTTCAAGAAATGATTTTGCCAGCAGAGAAAACCTCAAGCGACAAGGAAGTGAGGTCCTCTGGGAAGGCCCACGGTCATTATCTGTTCCATGAGGGAAAAAATTGATATTAAAAACATCTGAAACTATTTTGACAATGGATGGCAGTAATAACACTAGTCTACGATTTCAATGTATTTCAAGTGTAAACATGTTTTCCATATTCTTCATTTTCCGATTACAAAAGAATTTCTTTGAGTCCATACTGTTTTTTCATGTTGTCACATATATTCAGTCACTTTGTCTAACACAACATGAAACTTGAGTAGGCTACTCAGCATATAGAAACAAAACAAATCTGCCAAGTCATTGTTGACGGAAGGGAAAACAATGTCTCCGATCTGTGTCTTAAAACCATTTGCTTAGTTAACATACAGTATGTAGAGTATAGCAGGTGCAGTCTATCATATATAGTATAAATTCTGTACAAATATGAACTTCTTCATTAGAGCAAACATGCTCCAAAAGAGCACGTAGGAGAAAGTCATCACTACATGTTGGGATTTAACCAAACACAGATTATGACAACCTATAATTTAAAAAACGTGCAAAATACAACAAATACACAGTAAATATGAACACTTCTTTGATAAAATTATTGTAAGCTAATACTAATTTTAAATAATTGTTTTAGTCACTTTAGTCACTAGTACAAATACCAGGGACAACATGGTTGCAGATTTACAAATAGAAAGAATTCCATGTTTTTATTCATATTATAAATACGTTAGACTATGTAAGTTCTTTTGTCTTAAAAAAATTAGTAAATATTGATTCTGATATTTTCAAAGACAGTAAAATGTTTAATTGCCACCCTAAAATACTACAAAACTAGACAATGCATTATATTAATAATTTTATAAATCATAAAGCAGAACAAAAGGAATGTTTTGTGTATGTTTACATTATACTGAGTGACATAACAACAGTATGGTTATAGTTGTGTCTTAAAGGAAATATTTTGAAATTGTTAAGTTATAGTAAATAGGGAGGAAGCCAAAAGCCTGCCTTATACTTTGATTTATTAGTAATAAATACCACAACATGGGGTTTTACATTGCAGATTATACAGGAAAGTGATACAAATATTCATCTCAATTAAAATACATTTGTGAAACTGAAACTTATTTTTGTTAAAATAATGATACAAAATGTAGAAAATCTCATACATTAAATAAAAACAAACAACATAGCATGCTGTACAAATTAAACATAGAGAAAGCTAATTTTGGAGTTTAGACAGTTGTAGCAACTCTGACAGGCGGAGGAGGGACAAAGCTAGGGAGAGCCACTGATCTCTCAGAGGGAGTCTGAAAGAAAGCAAGCCAGTTCATTTACTGAAAATCAACAACAGAAGTAATCTTCCACTTAGATATGTTTGATTAGAAAGGCTACCTGCTGTAATCGGTTGTAATCAGGGGGAGACTTCAGCCCTCCTGTCAGCAGGTTATGAGGAGTTGAGTCTGTTTGGGTTGTTATTGTCTGTGAATGACAAGAAAGAAGCTTAAAAACAACCAACCAAAATAACAGATGTAGAATTCATTGGCAAACATGTTAATAAGTGGATACTATCTGATCATGATATAGAGAGCATTATATTTATTTTATACTCCACAAAGTCCCCATCAACTGTAACTATCAACTGATCTGTTGGCACTGAAGCGATTGAAAGTGATTCTAACCTTCTCTACTGCTCTGGCCACTGGATATCTTGTCTGTCGACCTACAAAACACAGAAAAACCGGACATAAAGAAAATATGTCACCAACAACTTGATTCATATTTGATGCTAAACGAGCTACTACTTCATCTACTTTTGTTCTTGTTCCAGTTGACACAGAGGTAGATGCTGCCTCCCAGCAGCAGCAGGAAGAGAAGGCTGCAGGGGATTCCAGCTGCAATGCCAGCAATGGCAGATCCACTCAGCCCGTCACCTAGTATCACCGGGACCAACAGTAAACAATACTTTTATGTAGCACCCTTATTGACCCGGTTATAAGAAATGTGAGGCTTTAACATACACAATCTATCAAATAGACATACCTGGACCAATTCTGTGGGCCTCAGTTGGCTCTCCTTCAGTCATTAGAGCTTTGGGGATTATCCGAAACCTGTACGTCAAGTTGGGATCAAGGGGGAAGATGTCTGCATTCCTGGCAGATCCAGGTTTCTGCTGGATCGTCTTAAAGCTTTGTGAGCTGCTTCTTGTTAGGGTGGCATTACGATTTTTGCTCTGGAGGGCTGGTCCTTTCATCTGGATGTCAAAGCCTTTGCAAAAAGCACATGCAGTTCTGTTTTGTACGATATAAACATCAAGGTTGATCAATTACCAAACCCAATAGCAGAGGTGGGAAGTAACAAGTACAAATACTTTGTAACTGTGCTTTTTTTCACATATCTGCACTTTATTGGAGTGTTTTCTGACAATTTTTTACTTTTACTCCCTACATTTTTACACAGATAGGCTATCTGTACTTTCTACTCCTAACATTTACAGGCTTGTTTCAATGCATTTGAGGGGAGGCATCATTTCTTTTTGCATCATCCCACAAGACTCGACTCCATTTGAAGTTTCAGTTAGCTCTGCATAGAAACAGCCAGTAGAAATTCCCGTCAAACACAAAAAGAGTATCTTTTACTTTTACACTTCAGTCTGTACTTTTTCACTTTTAAATTGAGTATTTTTATGGCAGGTTTTTTTTTTAACACTGTTCTTTTGTGTGTACTTTTGCCACCTTTGCCAAATCGTACTACCAGTCTATACTAATAATATAATAATGATAATAATGTTACTGTTTAATTTGGAAAATCTTACTGTAAGACATAACAAAAACTGACATTTGCTTTTCGCAGTACTTTTGTCCTTAATATGTTTTCCCAAAACACAGCCGTGCTCAGCTAGAGGCTTCACACATTACACAATATTTATACCCCTATCTTCTATGTTGAGTTTCGGTTTTCAACACTGTCAGCATTGACCGAGAGGGATTGTGAATCAGCAGAGTTCTGCTGAGCCGTACAAATTAAAAACAAGAAAGTTGGGTTTATGTGTGAGGTTTAAAAGATATTGTTGTGAAAAAAGAAATCAACCTGAAGTTTTCCAGAGTTAATTGCTGCGTTACCTGTTACAACAGAGGTAGGCGGGACCTCCCAGGTCAATGTGATGATGGTTCCATCTTGATTAGGGAACAAACTGGAATCTGAGATCGACGGACCTGGAAAGAGAGGGATTGTGAATGAGGTGAAGATCAAGAGAGGGCAGGAGAGGGGGGGTGGGGGTATACCAAGACTGGAGAGCTTTGTTTAAAAGGGAAAGAGCAACCTCAGGTATTACTTAACTCCCCGTCTGAAGGCTCATTGTTTCCTTTACTTTGGTAATGCTAGTAGTACTCAAAATTAGAAGCTGAAGGGAACAGAATCCTTACAGTTTTTAAAGATGCCACAAATAATCACCACACTATTCAAGTAGTAAGTACATCTTCTATTTAAATGTACTTCAAGAAGTTCTTAACTGGTAATGAAACAGTCTCAATTTAATACAGATGCCTCTATTACCTACATGAACAAACAAGACCATCAGCGAGAAGACTGGCTATTTTGATATAGTTATTCTTAATGCCTGCCACTGGGTTGGATTTGGTTGAATTTCCTTTGAAATCAGACGAAGAGGTGGCGGGAAACACTACCGTTTGTATCCACAGGGGCCCCCAGAATCATACATATAAAATCTTCAAGTAATTATTAACCAGCCACTATATGTAGTGGATTAAGAAGTACATTATTCCTCTGTGTGTAGGAAAAGCTGCACAAAATAAATATATTCACGTAGTAAGTACCTAAAAACTGTATTTCTCAACAGTACTTGAGTAAATATCTGGTTACTTTCGGCCTGTGCTTAATGGTGACGGGCAAACAACAAACCAAGAAAAGTAATTATTCCATACCCATCAACTGAATTCCCCTTCTCTGGCTGCCTAGTGGGTTGCGGCAGGTGCAAGTGTAGTTTTGAAGAAGAAAGTTGCTGACATTGTAATACCGAATCTCAAGCTGTGTTGTGTCATTTCTGATCTGGTACGTTGTGCCGATGGTGACAGCCTCGCTGCCTTTGGACCATGACACCACAGCCTTAGGCGAGGCCTCACTGACACAGTTGATGGTGACCACTATTTTGCCCTCAAAGTCAACTGTGGTTCTCACAGCTGGCAGGAACACCCTTGGACTACCTGGGTAAGATAAAGGTCTTGTTTGACTGACTAATGCACATTATGCAAGTTTTATGTTTTTTAATGACAGATTGTTGAGCATCGAAAACTTACTTGCAGTGATATTGCACTTATTTTGTTCAGTTGGGTGGTCTGCAATGCACGTGACAGTTTTCCCGTCGAGGTTATCCGAGGCATTGAGAGTGAGGCTGAAGCTCCCTGCTCCACTGCCGGTGTTGTTTAGCACCGGCATAGAAAGCTGGGCCTGTGGGGTTCCCCCCAACCACTGACAGAGGTACTGCAGGTCGATGTTATTTACAGACAGCACAGAGCACACCAGGTTTCCTGACGGCCTCTCTGTCCAAAGAGAAAATATGACCTTTTCTTCAGGAGGTCTATACAAAAGGTCTTTATAGGTGTAAAGATGGCAGAACACTGTAATCCTATAGCTTTACTGAAAATGTTAAAATAAACAAGATGTACTGGGTAAGGTATATGTAAATTAAAAACTTTATTTTGTTTTTGGTGGTGAAACTAAATAATATTCTTTCTGATAAATTAAATTTAAGAGAAATTACAGTAAATTAGAAATGCAAATGCTGGATCCTAGCATCCATAAAACTAAGAGATCAAAGTTTTGACATACCATAAATTGCTAACGTCGTGTTCTTTTGGCGCTGTTCATTAGTCTTGTTATTGCGCAGCTTGCATATATAAACGCCTCCTTGACTGGGCTGTACATTTGCTAGATTTAGGACTCCATTTGTGGAACTGTTAAGGGTCTGACTGTCAAAGGTCCACTCAACAGTTGGCTGTGGGGACCCCTCAGCTGAGCAGGAGAGTTTCAGGGAGTCTCCTAATACATAGAAAGGCTGTGCTGGTTGGACCTCAAGTATGGGCTCATCTGGTCCATCTATAAATAGACCATAAAGAATACAGGGGAGAGTTATAAGAAAATGAGTGGAAACAAACAGAGACAGAGGCTTTAGAAAGACATATTTCCCCACTTAGAATCTAGTAAGCCAAAGTTATTAATAATCTTACACAGCACAGTGACATGCATGCGAGCTGTCACATTACTGAAGGGGTTCGCCAGTGACACCGTGTACTCTCCTGTGTCTGTTCGGTCTGGCCGGAGGATCACAAGGCTCTTCTCCCTCACCGAGTACTGCGAGCCATTATTTATTTCTTTGTCATTGAAGAACCACTTCTCTTGCTCGACCACTCCGTGGAGCATGCTGTACTGCAGGGTGAACTCATCAGTTCCCTCTATGGCCAAATCAGGCTTCGCACTCAGAATCACATTTTGGATTTTTTCTGTGAAAAAAAACAAAAAACAGTGAAGGGGTGGTGGAACAGGTGAATGACACAGCAATCTCTTATTAGCATGGCCAATCTAGACGGTATTAGAAAGATAATAAATTGAAGTTTTCTAGATGCCCTAAAGATTTCAGCAGTACGTGTTGCTTTCCTGACCACATTACACAGTGCTGGGGCAACCCAAAGCTGGGAGGGATTCAGAATTCTGGTCTAGCATAATCCGACCCTGCTGCCCAAAATATATATTTCATGTATATTTTAAATATTAGATTGTATATACAGTCAAGAATTAAGGCAAGATACTTAAAGGGTTGCGGCATGTGTGTGGCTTGACTCAAACCTTATTTTTTTCATGGCAGTCCAGTAGATTATAAAATCTACCCGTAACACACAGCAATATCAATTATGGAACGGGCAGTAAAATATATATGATCCATCTTCAGGTTAATGTCATTTATCGGTTTATGCAGCCATTAAATCCAAACCCTACTACAGCAGCATATCTCCAAAATCAGAGCTCAGTCGGGTACTCACCAAATACTTTCAGAGTGAAAGTAGTCGAGGTTTTTCCCAGTCCAGACTTAGTCATTTCAACGGTGTACATACTGGAATAATTTAGTGGTACTTTTACCAAAGTAAGTGAACCATTTGGCTCAATCCTCAGCACCTCCTTTCTGCTGTCGTCTATGTCTGGGGGAATAGATGAGTCAATAGTCCATGTGAGGACAGGTAAATCTCCCATTGACCAGGTAACCACTGGGTCAGGGGCACCGCTGAAGGACACAGTCAGAGTCACATCGGTGCCAGCAACAGCATTCACCAGAGAAGGGCCAACATTAGAAACCACCAGCTCACAGTAAGTGCCTGTCAGTGTGGAGGCAAAGTAATTAGTTTAAAGAGGAAATATTCATCTCTCAATTCTCTGAATCCTTGATGGGAACAGGAACAATTTGCAAAACAGTTGATGTATTAAATGCTGATATGTGGCAAGTGAATATCCCGTGTTTATAGTGTATGTCTGTTCCTAATAAAATAAGCGCACATAAATAGAATTAATGTGGTTCATCGTTAATTCATTTAATGGTTATTTGATAGGGACAGATACTGCATGCATATAGAATAAAATTGCATTACAATCCAATGCAATGCAGCAAAGCATTTGTAGCTACAGTTAATTTTCAATGCCCGTCTCTAGAAGGGCCTTTAAAATAACATAAAAACGATTTTAGCAAAAGGCACACACGTCAAATATAGAATAAAACAACTCTTGGAACTCAGTTGGAACATAGCTAGTTTTAATCTTACCTCGAAAAGAAAAGCCAAGTAAAATGGCCAGAAAAACTGCGCATAATCTCCCAAATTCATCCAGCCACGTCATTTTAATTAAACAGCTCGAGTAGCTCAAGAACTCAAGAGTAACCGAGAAAAGTCAGATAACTTCGAAGTTCTGTTCCCAAACACATAAAGACACTAGAAATGAAGAAGAAATGTCCTTGGCGTCTCAGACAGCAGTGACTGAACTGCCTGTGTATCCTCTCGAGCTCAGCTGTCACCAGGGCGCGTGAATAGCTCACCTGTGCTGACTCAAAGCCTTGATTGTGCGCGTGAGGCCACGCCCCTTGTCTATTTTCCCATAACAGCACCTGAGCTTTATTTCTGTGTCGTTCAACAGCCAATACTATTTCACCGTACAATGTATCTCATGTAAACAGGGAACAGGGTGATGAGGTGACTTTAGTCTTTTAGTTTCTGTTTCTTTATGTATTTTTACGCAGTGGGGTCTCTGTGCTGGGATCTGTCTTACTGGTGCCCTTACCAGAGCAGTCAACTTGACAGACTGAACAAATCCTTATCCGTCCGTTAAATGACCCGCATATTCTAATTTATAACCTCATAAAAGGTGCCAGTTCATCAGGTACATCATTAATCCGGACTTATACAAATACATACTCATGTATGGAGAACTAGCCTACAGCATTTAATATAAAGTAAGACATTTTTAAATGAATATTCTAATGAATATGTAAATTAACCATGACATTACTTCTACTTATTACCATAAAATGTTATTATATCCTGCTTTTTTCCACAGTTTGGAATAATTCTGAAACATTTTATGTATAAATTGCTATCGGTCTATTTAATAACGGCATTTTAAATAATAAAAAATAATAATAATAAAAGAATGAATCTGTTGCTTTGGCCTGAGTGAGCAGGCAGCCTATTAAGTTTTTTTTAAAACCTATGGAGAATATCCCACTATTTTCACCACAATATGTTACCTATTTACAGGTTTTAATGATGTCATTACATTTGTACTTGCATGGTGTGCAAAAGTGTGTCGAATGTGAGTGCTTTGGACAGCTAACAGGGAAATTTTCTCCTTTCCAGTCCCAATCATCATCTATCCAGGGAATATCTGTAATGTATTGTTACTTGCAGACTCCATTAGGGAGGGTGGGGAGTGGTTATTGTCAGTTCAACCCAAAGGAACAGTCAGAGGTGTATTTAGATATGAAAAAGACTGGCTGCTTTATTGTCATGGTAATGTTCTGTACAATTAACAGAGAATTGAGGCGCTTGTGGTAAAATTCAGATTTATGATCATCTTGCTCATACTGAGAGACACCGTCTAGGCAGTCCAGAAACCCAGTTACAACTACACAAACTATACAAATTACCAGCAGACTTGACACTAATCTTGAAGGTCATAATCATTTCAACATGTTCGGGTCCATATTTACATCATTTACAAAAACTGCACCTCTTAAACATGTGTGACTACAGATATACAAGATTAAACAGCTGAGCCGAGCTAGTGTTGGTGAAATGCATCGTACTGGTGGTGTTAATGTACAGTGCAACACAAACAGTATTATGAATGGCAGGAAGTTTCTGGGTTTAAATTATTGCATAAAGACTACTTGTCTACAGTAAGATTAGCAGCCTGTGATACAGATGAACCACCTGCGGAAGTTAAAATGCACATAGAAGACAAGATGATCCTTTTGGGGGCTGTCTGGGTCTGCTGCAGGACAGTGTTTCTCAGTACTCCTCCTCTCCTGTCACTACCTCCCTGCATATCCTCAGGAGTCAGTCTTAAACAGAGGGATTAGACCGATACATAAGCTAGTCCTCCGGATGTGCTTTTGTAATACAGTCCAGAAATTCATTAGAGAGTCCTGCAAGGAGAGAAGATAATGTAGATATGTAATTCAAGACAAGAGTTGCAATTAAAAATCTTTAATTAGTTTAGTGTCCGTCACTACAAGACACATAATACCCTTTGCCAAAGCAATTAATTAGTACTTTTACAATGAAGAGACGGTGATATAAAAGGATGTCGCATTAATATTCCAAGCAAACAATTATGTCATTCATTACAAAAGGGTAAATTCGCTGCGTGCATATACAAGTGTAAAATGTATCAAGTCAAAATCAAAAGGTAGATAAGTTAGGTAGGTAATTTTTTGGTATACAGTGTTTTCCTACAAATTATTCAGTAATTATTCACTGCCCCCCTTTCCTAGAAAACCTTAATAGAATGTTTTCCCCTCAAACTTCTTCAAGTAATGGAATTTGTAGGTTGCTACTAAATATTCTTCAGAAGAAGCTGAAACGATTAGTTGATAAAAAAAAATCTGACAACTGACGGAAAATTAATATTCATCAATGTTGATAAACGGATCACCGCTGTAGCTTAGAAGTTAGAGGATGCAGATCATGAACTGCAACGTCCCAGGTTTTGAATCAGACTGGAAACCTTTGCTTTCTCTCTCTCTCATTTCTCTACTGGCACTAACTAATAAAAGATAACATACACCCATAAAACCTATTTTGATAATCAATTAACCCTATAGGTAATTTTCTAAACAAAACACTAAACAATGTCTGCGTCTGGCTTCTCTGTTAATGATAATTTGCTGCTTCTATATAATTGTATATTGTATATCCGTGTGTTTTGGACTGTTGGTTGGGTAAGGGTAAAACATTTGTTAGTTGTGGCCCGAGTTGAAATAAAAGTCTATCTTTACAAATGATTGCAAGTTGATGGATTTGTGGGAGACGTAAAGATGCATATTAATATATTTAATTTGTTATAATAATCTAGTTTCAGGCAGGCTCTAGATTGGTAGACACAGTGATACTCACCCTTCTGCCAAGTTCTGCACTCTGCTTATGCTTCTGAAGCCTCTATACCATCCCTGCCTCCTTCAGTTTGCCGACCAGGTCGTCTACGGTCTCTACCTTCATCCCCGCCTGTCTCTGTGGGGGTTCATCCACTCTCAACACCTCCAACCGTGATGTGATGTCCACCCCTAAGTCTGCAGGCTTCACGTTAGCTATCTTCTTTTTCTTGGCTTTCTGAAAGTAGGAAAACGCAGGAAAATGTAATGTACATAATCTGTACTATTTAATAGTATAATTAAAAGGTCTTTACAGTTTCATTTTTTGGCTTTCATGGCATTTTCTGGCATTTCTGACCACATTTCCCTGCAACCTACCATGATATTAGGCAGGGTGGCATATCTGGGGGTGTTAAGTCGAAGGTCTGCGGTAACCACTGCTGGTGTGTTGATCTTAATAGTTTCCAGGCCACCATCGATTTCTCTCACCACTTTAATCTTGTCTCCTTCCAATGACAACTCTGATGCAAAGGTACCCTGGAATATGAAGACACAGTGCAAATTCATTAAATGAGTCTAAGTGGTCCACCTGGAAAACAGGGAACGTTTTCTGTACATCATCATTTCTGCAATTAGTGAACAAAAACAGTGGGAGGTTACTTCATGAGACAATTAACATGCAATTAATTGTGAAACTACACTTAAATTGAAACTAACCCAGGGCAAATCTGTCTTAAGAATTAAGTATTGGCTATAATATGTCAGGGGTGGTAACAGTAGTGAGCATGAATGGTTAAAATGCCTGGATATACATTATAATCTGTGCTTCAGGCTGCTCAACATGTACACTGAGAGATAACCTGTTACCAAAGGGTTCCATCTATTGGTCAGCCAGTGGAACTCCACCTCAAATGTCCGAGCAGCCTTTGACCTGCTTTGCTGATCTGTGCAGGATCGCTGTGGCTGTTACTGACTCAAACTAGTCTCTGCTAACTTTGGAGAGATAAGGCAGTCTGGACAGGGGCATAACCTGATATCAGCACTGCTACATTACATATTTGACAACTTGTAAAGACAGACCATTTTTGGAGTCAAAATGGACTGTTCATATTTATAACAGCATTAGAGTTAGAACTCACCTGAGGCCAGTCCAGTAATGCTGCTGTCATCTGGCCAGTCTGATTGCAGTCATCATCAATAGCCTATGAAAGCAACACAAGTCAGTAAAGGAACGTAAAAGTAGAGCAAGACCTGAGTATTCACAGCATGAAAGCAGAAAGTGTGATCTGATTTTAAAGGAGAATAGAGGGGTTTTGTTTTTGTTTTTTTAACCTGTTTGCCAAGGATGACAAGTTGAGCCTCCTCCTTCTTGGCCAAAGCAGCCATGATCTTGGAGACCTGCAGCGGTCCCAAGGTTTCATAATCTTTCCCAGTCACTTCCACATGAATGCCACGGTCTGCTCCCATGGCGAGGGCGGTGCGGATGGTCTCCTAAGTGAGGGAGAAATATGGGTCGGGAACTTGTATTAAGGGGAATTAAAATAATTGGGTGGTGCTGCTCCCCAATTAAAATTTGCCACCAAACCCAAAAGGATTAAAACACAGTGTGGTAGGGCGTTCAATTTTAATTTATCTCCATATCAACAAATGTAACAATAACTACTTTAGTACCGTGCACAATACCTCCTTTCTCATGTTAAGTATGACTCTGTTTATGGGATTCCAACAACTGATTTAAATAAAAAAAATTAAGTAAATATTGGCAAGGCCTGTCATAAGTTATTATGAATTTTCTTTTTTAAATGATATCTGCAACACAGGCAGGCAATGACATATTAAAAAAGCAAAGTGATTTTTATCCAATTGCACTGCTTGATTAGGCAAAAAATGATAAGTAATCTTCAATTATTACTCTCCAATTGTTTATATATCATTCATCTTTTAATTAGTATTTGTCACATTAAATGAACACTTCATTACAGCATGATTCAGCCAAAAGATTATTAAAGATAAAGCTGAAGCGCAACAAAAAAAACTGTAAAAAGATTGAAACCAATAGAAAGAGCCCATCCAAAAGTAGGCCACCAGCAAGACCACACTGTATTTTCTCCAGGACATTAGTTACCAGGCAGGGAGTCTGGCCCCATCTCACCCACCTGTACTTGCTGTGGCCCGCAGCTGACAGCTACAACCTCTTTAATAAGCTTCTTCTCCTTCAGCTTGACCGCCTCCTCCACAGCGATCTCACAGAAGGGGTTCATTGAGTGCTTAACGCCATCCGTCACCACACTACTGTTGTCCGGCTTCACACGAATCTGAGGAGGAAGAAGAAGACCCGCAGGACAGAGTCACCACAGGGGTGCCACATGACAAACAATCCAGATTCTAGGGCACACTGTCAGACATGATGACAGGCTCACACAGGGAGTGAGCCAGCAGGGTATCTATAGTTGAAAAGGCAAGCATCACTGCATAGGGAGGCAAGTTAAAAACAGGAGCTCTGTAGCTGGTAAAATATGCCTTCATGTCCGGATGCTTGCCTCTCCTCTTTTATTGCTCTGCATTGCTTTACTGTTATAATAAAAAAATAAAAAAAAATTATAAAGACGAACATTCCCTAAGGGCAGTAAACATTTAATCTGGAAAAAAGGTCTCACGTTTAGAGGCATACTGTTCTGTTCTTTTCAGGCGATACCCTACTTGGCCAAAAGTATGTGGACATCCAAAGTATCCAAAACCATGGGCATTGATTGCAGCTGTAACAGATTTTGGAACCAGGCTGGTACTTGATCCCATTCAGTCACAAGATTAATAGAGAGGTCCAGTGCTGTTGCTGATGTTGGGCAATAAGGCCTGGTACATGACCTTATTCATGACAAAGGCATTCGGTGTAGTTGAGGTCAGGGCTCTGCGCCAGGCCAGTTGAGAAAAACTATTTCTTTATGCAAGTGGCACTATCATGTTGGGACAGAAGTGGTCCTTCCCCCAAGCTGCTGCAACAAAGTTGGAAGCATATTATTGTCTGTTTGTTGGCAATGTATGATGCAGCTTTAAGATTCCCCTGAAAGTGAACTAAGAAGCCAAGTCAAAAACACTGAAAAACAACAGCAGACGAAAAGAACACAAAAGTGTCTGGACAGTGGCGTCCATATACCTCTGGCAATATTGTGAACTTCATATAGCTTTACGTATCATATATAACTTTACATATGCAGAATAATTATAGTTTAAAATGTTTGCAACAATTGAGCCGGATCAGTATATTAAACACAAAAATATAAGTTAACATCACAGTATGATATACTGATAGAAGACTCAATTTGACGTAACAGCATACATAACAAGCAAAAGCGTGTTTTATTTTGGTCATCTGCCTGATAATGTTGGGAGGAAAGCTACAGATGTGTGTCAGAACCGAGCGCTGAAGCTGTACAGATCCTGCTGGGGGCAGCTGAAGCAGGAGTGTTCTTGCTGTGACAGGAAACAGCTGATAATAGATATTGATTGTGGTGGTGTGCTTCAATTTCTAGGATACAATATAAAGGTTTATTAAGGTTATTGAGGTTAACTGTATGACTGATTTTCTTACAGACTCATTTAAGATCTGGGGGGAAAGCCCCCAAGCCAATAACAAGACATGCCATTAGGTTACACAACTTGCAAAACATCAACCATGCAGGTAACTAACAAATAGAAATCATACACTGCTGGTCACTGTTGCTGGCAATAATCAAAAATACTCATGCTGCATCCTGTAAAGTGTGAGTAATATGAGTTTTGCTGCAGACTGCTGTTATGTAGCTCATTTACAGATCACATATGTGAACAGAAAGTTGTGATCCTTGGCTGTTCTGCCACAGCCAGCTGGCTTCAGAAAAGCTAACGTTAGCTAGCAGGACAGAGAAAGTCAAGTGAGTGAGCACAGAAAACATGAATTAAAAACCTAAATACGCCCATTGAAGCAACAGAGGGATATTACCTTAACTGCGTAGTCAATGACCCGCTTAACTCCAACGAGAACACGGCCAGACATTGTAGCTGAAACGTTTAACCGGGCAGTGGTAGTCGAGGGCTAACGTCAAAGAGTCACCGCAATGAACCTTCAACCACTGAGGACAGGTCGGAATTATTTTAGGGTGATACCAGGGGAGGAAGGCGAGGGGACCGCCTACCGTTCTAGCCAATCAGAGGCTGTCAGAATTGAACGTTCTCTACACTGATTGGTTGAGACGCGCTTGAAGTCGTTGTTAAATTCAGCAGAGATAAATCAGTCGGTGCCATGGTTTCGGTGAATGAATGCCAGATCAAACTTATTTAGGATTTTTTTTGGGGGGGAAAGCGTTTTAACTACATCTCAGTGCCCACTGTCGATTGCCTGGTTGTTTAAACTGCCCGACAACTCACCTGTGAATAATGTGGTGCTCCTCATATCTGTGTCGTAAACAAAACCGGGCGAAGAAACGTTCCGCTTTCAGTAGGACAAAGTTCATGGCAAACAGCAGAGCGACACAATGAGGGTCAAGTCACTTGAGCTTAGGGTGACCAACAGATGCCACAAACCAAATATGCCACAAAGAGTATGTTTGTGTAGGACAATGTGTTTACACGTTACCAATTCTGAGAGGTGATCTAAAAATGTTTTATATCGTCCACGTAACTTTAAAAACACACATGATGGTTGATTCACAATAAACAGGTTACAGGTTAGGGCTTTTTAACATGTGTTACAAATATATTTTATTTGAATGCAACTTTCCCCAAACTCCCATGAAAATAAATACAGTAAGCATAAAATGAAGCTAAAGTTTTACAGTTAATATGGTCTTATGTGATGTTCTGCGGTAGTCACCGTTCACCGGCTTCACCCAGTTATAAGTAGCTTCCCAGTCTTTATTGAAGCTGCATTTCCTTATCTTTTGTTTTTTATTGTGATGACACATACTGCTTTTTAAAAGCCATTTGATAAAAATAAAAAAATCTGATTTTAGAAAAGCATCTGCCCTGCAGTGATATGACTTTTGAAAATTAGAGCCACTCGAAATGTGGGACATCGTCTCAGTATGTGGGACATGGGACAAGGGATACAAATTCTGTGCAGTCCCACATAAAGTGTCACACCTGGTCACCCTACTTCAGCCTCCAATGACATATTTCAGGTTACACATGAGCATGACTGGGAAACCTCACAGTTTATGGGGGTTTTTTTTCATTATGTCTGGCTATTATAACATGTCTTCTAATATTAAAGATAAGTGGAGCGACGTGTAAAAACAGAATATTGGTGAATCTTTTATTTCAATGGTTTCTTGTGCATATGTCAAAACATATTTGTGTTTGCCTTGCTCTTTCCATTTTTCTTTTTCAGCCTTAAATTGATTGTTGTTCCCTTTCTTGTTTTGTAAATTGTTTTTTATTTTATTTATGCAAACAGAGAGAGGGGAAGGGAGAAAAATGTATCTGGAGATGTATGGGAGCCTCCGACAGTTGCTTTTTTCACCACCTTACACATAATATAATTTCAGTGTAGGGAGATATAGGGAGCAACATTCATCTGAAATTACTTGCAATAAATAAATAATATAATGTATCACGAATGTTCAGTTATTGTTGAAACTGTCTACGAGAGATGTTGATTAAAATTAATGGAGGCTGTTAGGTGCTGTTGAATTGTATTGTGTTGTACTGAGATGTATTTCTAATATTTAGTATATCCTCACTGGCATTGAATAGTGTACAGAATATTATAAATCTCCTTAAACAATTCAACACCACAAACTAGAGCCTCTGATATGACCATAATGTTAATGTCTCTCAGGCTTCAACGCCTCAGTTTCAACAAAACAGAACATTATGACCTGTTGTAGCTGTTGTATTACACTGTGTGTGCTATTTGTACTGGCAAGTCAGTGTGTTAGTTAATAAATAAAGTAAATATAGCCTCAGTCAAAATCCCTGCTGCTGAAGCCAATGTAACTCAGTTCTATTTCCTATTTTTATAAAAGCTATTTTATTTCTACTTTTACTTTTTGTATAGTTTTCTATTTGTATAGATGCTAGCCAGGCTTAACCTCCAAACACTTAATTTACCTGCACATATGCAAATGTTTAATTTATCTGCACGTTTAGTTTCCCTGTACACATTTAATCTCCCTGCAAAAGTCCAATTTCTCTCCAAATGTTTAATATTTTAGCACAGGTTTTAATTTAAATTCAGATTTATCTCAGGTTGAATTTAATGTATGGCTACTGTGTTATAGGTTCATTTTCTGATGTATGTATGTTTGTATGCTTTTACTGGATGCTTAAATTTCCCTCAGGATAAATAAAGTATCTATCTATCTATCTATGTACATAAACAATTTCGAGGTACTTCTTTATGCTATTTTATACTTCACTACATTTATTTGACACTACGTCAACCACTTAAAGCATTGTTTATGCGTCAAAATGGTCCAGTAATATACTTGATATTGGACTGACAGAGCCTATTCTGACAAACAAAGACTTTTAATACACTGAGTATATTCTGCTGGTTATATGTTTGTACTGTTACTTAATTATAAGTAAAAGTCCTGCATTAAACAAAAACTTAAGCTGAGTATTTCTATAGTGTGGTACCTCTACTGTTTACTTAAATAGAGGATTTATTCCACCACTGACTAAAGCACCCTTGAGCATGGCACACTGTACATACACTGCTGTTTAAGTGTTGCTGGAAAAGTTGACTTTCCCTTGAAAATAAACTTCACAATTAAAAAAAACAAACACTACAAAGTGATTGACAAGGTCGTGTAGAAACAGTGTTAAAAAGTAAAACAGGAAAAAGACCTTAACAATAAAATGAGCTTTGGGATGCAGATATTGAATTTTGCAAGGCACCTTAAGTCTTTGGGGATCAGTAACAATAATGTTTATATGTCCACGCCTATAAACGCTTCACTTTGTATCATTTATGTTACCCTGAGGACAATAACAGATGATTTAATGTTTGTTTGTGAGACTTTTTGTCCTTCCCACTCTCCCTCTCTCTCCCTTTCTCTCTCTCTCTGTCTTTATGCAACCAACATATAGGATTGTGAGTACTTTGTTCACAGGCGGTAGAAAATAGATTCAGCTTTGAACGTGTCGTGGTCCCCACTGAGCTGCAAATCCTCCGGCGCCACAGCTGATGGAAGCGGAGTCACCTCGGATCACCCAGCGGCGGCAGCGGCCTCCATTTTAACTCCGACGCCGAGCCATACCTCACGTGTCCTGGGCTGTCTCTCTCACATGACCCGAGTGTTTGTTCCCGTGATCAGCACTTCCATCTCCGTCTGTGACACCGAATATCACTTTTTATACTAACACTGATGGATATGCTCGAACAGAGTTTGGACACCGCAAGGTAACCGAGAGTCGACCAAAATGGCCAACTGAGACAGGCTAGCTATAACATGCTATTTCGGATAGCTAGTTTACGACGCTAACCGAGGCCTGACCTAAAAAAAAACTGTTGTTAATAGTGAATTTAAAACTAAAGACTACAGTAAAGTTAGCAAGAGACGTGGAAGTAAGGCGGGGTGGCTGGTTAGTTATATCGTAGGAGACCAATGTGCAGTTAACATAAGTTAGCTTCAGCTAGCTATTAAAACACAAACAACAGTGTTGTCAGCCACTGAAGGTAACCTGAGGACAGGAGCAATGTTGTGTTTTACTTAGCGATTGTGCTGTTGTTTGTTGACTGGCTTCTTGCACAGCTTTTCCATCACTTAAGGCACATGTTAAACTCACTAATTACATTTATTTTTATGCAGAGTAGTCTCGTATTGCGTGTTTTTTTTATTTTTCTGCATCTGATTTGCAGCCAAGAAAAGCAAGAAGAAGAGGTTGTCCAGACATCTGAAGGTAAGAATTTATTTACTACGCTGTCATTGACAACACCTGGAACCTGCACAGCAGTGATGTATGCATTGTGTATAATAGCCACAATAACGTTAGGTTTTAACACAAACATAGATTGTGCTTTAAATTATAAGATGTATAGTAGAATATAGCATCTTGGCAAACTATCTTGTTGTATTGTTTTCTTTCTGCAGCTGTTCTCGGGGCTTGGTAGCTGTTGTTTTTAGTCGTTTTCCTTCTTTTTCATTCTCACAGCTGGCTTTTCTGTCCTCTTTTCCCCTTCAGACGGAACAGGAGAAGAGCAGACAGCTGTTACTATAGCCAGTGTTCAGCAGGCTGCAGCATTTGGTGACCATAACATACAATATCAGTTTCGCACTGAGGGTGGTCAGGTAGGTAACTAATGTATGGATTTGTACCCTACTCATGATTGTTTGTATGCCTATTTCAGAAAATCTCAAAGTGCATGGTTTTTAGGGTAAGATTGCATCTGTTCAGCACTCCCAAAAGGAAACCAGAATTTCCCCGAATTACTTTAGATATCAGGTTGAATCAACGTCCAAGTGGTGTTTGTGCAAAGATAAAATTGGCACCTGCCAGAGCTTCACATTGCATATTGATAAATGTAGTTGAAAGGATTTGGTCGTATGCATAGAGCATCCTGTCAGTAAACAACATGTCATGTCACACAGTATGTGTGACACATTATTTTGAGTACTCTGTGATTCAGGTTTCTTGAGTGTTTTGGTGTAAGCACTTTTACCTCAGAGAGAAAAAAACTTCTGTTCCTCTCATGAACAGTGTTTTCTGTGTCAGGTTGTGTTTTCTTTTTACGTTATTGTGCGTTTTTCTCTGGATGCTTTAGCTCCCTCTCCTTTTCCAAAGACAAGTCAGGAGGATAGCAGGCTCTAAATTGCCTACAGTTATGAATGTGTGTTTTTCTTTTTCTAGTCCCATGATTGACTGGTGACCTTTGTCAAAAACCATCTCCTTGCCATCCACAAAAGTAGTATTTACTCCAGCGATGGTCAGTGATTGACAAAGGGACAGCGATGCAAATAAATAAACAGAAAAAGTAGTGTGCCACTCAAGTTGGTTTATCCTTATTTGGACGATTTACACTGGAGGGAATTAAGTCAGTGATCCATGTGGGTAATTTGGCGTAAACAGGGCTAGTGAGAGCGATCATGTGCTTCTAGTCTGGTCTACGATTGGCATGGGGCTGCTGTCACATGTCAGTCAGGAGGGGAGTCACATGATGGAGGAATACAAATACTGATTCTTGGAACAAACAAGCTCATTTTCTTGACTTGTTTTTAAAATTGAATCATGCACATTCTGAAGCATAAGCATATTACATCCTGCACAATATGCTTGCGCTTCAGTGATATCAACACACTACTGAGATTAGGACTATAGTGGCAGATACTAGGCTTGGCTGAACTGAAGCAATAGATATGATAAACAAATCTACAAGTCAGGTAAGGTTTTGATCTGGGTATAGTACACCGGCCATAGGGTAAATGACATAAAATACTCTTGATTTCACAGTTTTTCCCCCTCTCCTTCTCTTTTACTTTTGTTTCTTGCAGGTGACGTATCGTGTTGTTCAGGTGACTGACCAGAACCTTGACGGGAGAGATGATGGGGGAGGAGCAGTGAGTGTCGTCTCTACAGCCGCCTTCGCTGGGGCTCCTCAAGCTGTGGCTCAGGTATTAAAATCTGACCCTTTTTTTATTTATCTTAGAGAACCCTCTGGTAATATGGACTGTTTTTAAAGACTAGCTGCATGCTTTAGACTGTAAGTACTAATGCCACAGTCTTCAGGGATAAGGTCGGTGAGATTTCAGCATTTTATTATTCCAACAATTCCCCTTGTTAAAACCAACAATGAATTTATCCTGCTAATAAGTACTGTAGACACAGCCTAATGTCATTCATGCTATAAAACTCCAATGTTGTTACACCATAAAAAATATGTATAAGAGACATACCATTGACATATTCCTGTGTTGTGATTAAAGCTGCAAGTGTTGGTAATTCCTTTGAGCTTGCAAACAAGCAAAGCAGCAGTAGTAGTAGCGAAGCAAGTGCACGACGTCTGTCAGACACAGAGCTGCTCACAGAGATTTCAAATGCAGTTGTGAATTTGTGAATTTTGTGTATGGCAATGTTTACATTATAAGTCAGAACAAGCCATTTTTCCCGCAAGAACAGACCAGAGTTTATTCTCATTTGCAGTATACTGATGGTGTTGCTGACCTTGCTGTTATCTTTGCTAACAAGATCACCGCTACTTCTTTTTCCTCCTTTTATCCCAGCTGTCAAACAGCACTGCGTCTTGCTTGGGGGTCCAGAGGGTATACCAGTATTGAGTCTGACAGAGACTGAGGTGTGCGTTTACCTGCTGTGACTGCTCCATTGCTACTTGTTCAAGCTCTCTCCTCTGTCTCTCTTATCCGTCACAGGCTGTGATCCAAAACCCTTTCAGTAATGGAGGAAGCCCAGCAGGAGAGGCGGTGGGAGGGGAGACGCGCTTCGCTTACTTCCCCGCAACCGCGGTGAGCGACGGAACTGTGTCTGTGCAGGCTGCCACGGACCCCACACTCACACAGGCGGGGGGTGAGTCAGTTTTCACGCTTAATTTGGGATGAAGTTTACCACAGTGCTATGGGGGCTAATTCAGCCATTATTTTGAATGACAAACAGGAGAGTATTAAGGAATACCGTAATGACAGAATAACAGCCCCTTTTTTAGTAGTTGTAAATGAACCCACCACTTTGGCTGTTTTGAAACAAAGTTGGACCATGTAAAGTACTGTAGAACATAAATTATGTTGTCCCTTTTGTTGGGTACTGTAATCGAAATATGATTTGTGATACAGGTGGATAGAATTTCCTGCAACAATGCCTCAGCTTTTTTTGCAACTAAGGTTTTGCTCACTTTTGACGTATTGACTTATGACAACGTATTTTGTTCAATACAAGATTCCTTACTCAGTAATATGTGCAAAACATTTGTTGCCATGGTTAGAATACGCTTCGTGTAACAGTTTGTAAATGACACAAGACAAATATTATCAGAGGCCTAAATGAAATTAGTCACGCTGATCATATTTACTGTTTGCTTCATGTCACATGTCCGCCCACTCTACTTCTCTTCCTCTTTATTGCCATATGTCGTCCCCTGGCTGTGCTAACCGTCCTTGTGGTTACATGGTAGTGATCCAGAGGAGGCTGGTAAACTCTATGTGCCTGTCAATGAGGGTGTCTGGGGCTTGGTCGACCTGGAGAGCAGATTGTAGCTCTCTGGCTCTGTTATACACAACCAGCATCTGCTTGTTCTGGCATTCTGTTGCCAGAGGCATTTTAGCTCGAAAAATGGAAACAATTGATCAGTTATCCATATAATTGCAGATTAATCAAGTAGGCAATTGACAGAAAATGTGACTCATTGCAGCTCTATATGAGGCACACACAGGGTAAAGAAGAGCTGGCCACAAAACAAATGGATAATGGATAATAAACCATGTTTGTTACGCTACACAAATTTAATCCAAGTACCAAGACACGGCACTCAACATTTCATAGTAATATACCATCTGCCCTGCCTGTTAGTTTTAAAGCTTCTATTTTTAAGTTTTAGCAAGATCAAAACAACTGCACAGACACTATCACGGTTTATACAAGGTTATTTTGTGTTCCTTCAAGGAGGGAGCCGTCCCCGAATCTTTTGAGTTTTTTGATAAGCTTCCCTTTAGCAAGTTTTAAAAATGTTATTTAATCCATTACTGAGACTTGGCTTTTTAAGCTAATGCAGCACATCCACACACCCCGCCTGTCTCTCTCTTTCTCTCGCTGATCATTGTGTGTTGTACTAACATCACATGACACACACCCAGAGAAGTCAGGCGCCAATTGACGCACCTCAATTATAATGCGCGATATACGCTAGGTGCAGCAGAAGAAAACTACAAAAACTGCAGGGTTTTGGGCGTTTGGTTGTGGTTTTTCTTTTTTGGGTGTTGTGAGTGGCTGCCTGCTGACGAAAACAGAAGGAGAAGAAGAACATGAGGTTTCTTTGCTGTGGGTAACGGCTGAAGCCAGGGCCTTGCAGGAGGAAGTGGGCTGCTGTCTTTATCTTCTCTGAGCCTGGGGCAGTTTAAGCAGGCATGACATACTGGCTGAGGAGTGCACCGTAGGGTGTAGGTGGAGAGTACTTCACAAACTGCCATCTCCTATGAGGTGAGGGATAGTGGAAGATAGTGCACTAGGCTCTGGCAATGAACCACATTCTTGCAAGACTGGATCCAGGGGCGGGAAGTGCCTGACCTTTCTGTCGCACTGACTGTGTGTAAGCATCATGTTTTTTTCAACAATATGTATCCACCTTTTTCATTTTTTTTTTTTTTAAAGAAGGATGTCAGGTAGAACGGATTTTCACCTGGATTTCATGAATCCAAACATTTAATGTTTCTCAAGACACTGTAAACTCAATTTTCACAAAATGAGCTAATAGATATTGAACTGCAGAATAGAGAAAAAATGCCAAAGAGCTGCTGGGCACAGGAGCCCCTCATCATAAGTTGTTTGTTTGTTTTTTTAAAAAAAGGGATAAACTACAGGCTGTTTGGAGATCTGAAACGAATGAGCCCCATTCATGTGTTATGGCTGTGTCAAGGAATTACATGCCCTGCTATTTGGTGTTACTGGGGATGGGTTTGTGTCAAGGGACCTTAATTGTTGGGCTGATGCATTGAAAATAAGCAGAAGCAGTGCTGAAAGGCACAGTTTCTGCATGCCTTACAGTGGACTATGTGCATTGAGCATTCAATTTTATATTTCAAGCTTTGTTGTGAATGTCTCAGGGGATGAGAGAAAGGGAGTCTTGACAGTGTATGTGTTGATTTTACATGAGAAGGCTTCCAGCAGTGCAAACATTATTTTGCACGTGCCCATGAGGTTGTTTTTTAAATATTGAATACACTCTTATTTGCTGTGAGAGATTTCATTAGAGCAACAAGACCCAGTCTTTCATGCCATGTTGCCCTTCTGTTTTTTTCCTCATTGCTAACTGACGACTCCCATGCCTTCCACAGGTCAGTTTTATGTGATGATGACCCCCCCTGATGTAATTCAGACAGGCACGCCACGAACCATTGCACCCCGCACACAGCCCTACCCCGCGTGAGTATCAGCTCCATCAGTTGCTGTTTGGGAAAAGGAGACAATATTGATATTGCAGTCTGAGACACAGCTATTTCTGAAAACAAACTCTTCACAAGTCAGTTCTTGTAAAACACTGTTGTTATCCTGCTTGTAAATGCCACTCTGTTTTTTTAGCAGACAAATTGTGAATTGCTCAGTTGAAGTTTGAAGTTGTACATTTTGGTTGGAGTTTAAAAGTGGGGCAGATTGCTTTTTAATGTTTAATGTTCAGACCCATTCACAGCTGTTCATTAACTTTTAGATTTTAGAATTTTTAGAACGCATTTGGCAGAGTGGGTCTGCTCTTGTGACGCTGCAGAACAAATCTGTACAAGCTTGACACAGACTTATTTTACTTCAAGAAACCCCACCCTGCAAAGCCTGAGATACACAACATTTAAATGAACATCAACACATATTGAGTGAACAAGGCATGCTGAATTCACTTAAATCTAAATGCTAATGCACGGGGAGGGTGGGGAAGTGGTGGGAGTTAAATTGCTGGGGAATGGGCAGGGATGTGGTTTTTAGCGGATGTGTATGCAGAGAGAAAGAGCACCAAAACCTGTTTATAGGGCATCCCTAGCTGTTTGAGATCAATCTGGTTGATCAGTGATTGGATCTTACATGGTTGTGTGACTACAAAACAATTTAACACACCTATTTAAACTAGCATGAGGCTCAGTTTATGCAAACAAAGTCCTACGGTTGTCTTTAACGTTTACCACAGACTGTGTGTCTGCCCAGTGACTCTTCCTCATCTCTCTCCTGAGTTTGCTGTGAAGGTTGATTTTTATATCAAGGATCTTTATTTTAGCCCAGCCTGGTTGGCCTGTTTGCTCCTTCTTCTAAAATCTTCTTATGTTATTTATCTCTAAAATTCACAACATGCATCGTTATAATCATGCATCAAAAGGGACTTTCTCCAACTGTTAGCTCCATGCTGGTGATTGCTGTTATTAAGATAATCAGCAGGCTCACCTAAGCAAAGACAAACTGAGTTGTCATCTTCATTGCATGATACCAGCCTGGTTCTGGCCTACCACAAATAAATCAGCTTTATTTCACATTCTTGGTTCACTTGAGTGCCAAAAACACATGAGCCATGAGTAAGGATGCAGTTTTATTAAAAGTTCATGTAACTGTTTTGTCCAGGGTTTAGTAAAAGCCAAAGCACAGCCGTTTGCTCGTTTGGTCACCCAAAATGAACACATGACCCATTATCAAATTGAGTTAGCACCGACCTAAGTGAATATTCTTCCATTCTCCAACAGGCCTTTAACTTAACCTTTAACTCGTGAAACTGACATGACATACCATATTAACACTGGTTGTTCTAGGTAGCACATAAGCTCCCGTTTTCCCCCTCATTATGATAGTTATTTAAAAAAAAACACGAAGGAGGCACCACACTAGTATCTGTCTCTGCCTTGCATCATTATCATTTGTCACTTTGGGTATACAGTATACGGATCTACAACTAGGATGTTTACTGCTCCTGTGAATTTCAAGAACTTCCAATTCCTCCCAGATTTAAGCTCCTTTGTTGTGGGCAGCATTACGGGGAGTTCTAGATCCGCCCTAAATTTGGCAGCAGCTCTGCCGTCTCTGATGTTGCTTGATATTCACAGTGTACAACAGACTGCATTCCAGTCAAGAGTAAAGCACAATCTTTATTGCAGTGTACGTCTGCATTGCCATGTGTTGAAAGTGAACTGTTTAGTCTCTCAGAATGCATATCTGCAATATGTTTGTTTCTATTCATTTCCTCTTCCATGAATAATTTATGATTTTTGACACAAGCCTCAGTAATATTTAAGTGTAAACTAATGAACAGTGACATTATCGTTGATATGTGAGTAAAATGAATGAAAACTTGCCACCCTATCTGCCGTCCGCAGAGATGAAAACGAGCTGCTGCAGCATGAAGGTTTAAACTGGTGAGGACAGTTTCCACATTTCTCCCACACTCCTTTTTTTTTTTTTTTTTTTACAGCAAATGAACTAATCAAATGAAATCACAAGAAGAGAGAAGAAGCACACAAACCTCTGCCCTCCTCTCCTCTCTACCCCTCCCCTCTCATAAGTCCCTGGTGATTCTTCCTGCCCTTGATGTGTGAGACACAGATGTAGCATTTCTTCAGTGCTGACCCTGATCCATTGTTGTTAGTTGTGCTTGTGGCGAATGTATTTCTCCATTAGGACTTAGAAATTAGGTCATTGTTCTCCATCTGGAAACAAATGGCTTGCTCCACACTTTATTTTAGTATCATTTTCAAAGTGTCCTCTGTCTTAGTTGTTCTCATCTAGCCTAATTTTGAATAAGTTAGCTTTAAAACTAATAAGACACTATTTGAGGTTCTTATATACTGGAATTAATATTGGGAGAAACAACGCTATTGTACACAATGTGTTGCCAGTTTCACCATATCTCCTCCATATAATTAGTTGCACAGAAGTGGTTATATGTCACTAAGGCTCATCTTCGCTCATATCATCCATTTCGAGAATATCAAGCCCAAGCTGCAGTCACTTGTATCTCAATGTACGCCTAACTGACTCATTGTCCAGGCCCCGGCTTGGTGTAACACTGTAGCCTAATGAAAGGGGAGTGCAGAAGGAGTGACAATTGCATTTCTCTTTCGAGGATCAATATAGGAATATACAATCTTAGTCCTCTTCTACATCCATGCTCCAAATGATATGAATGAAGCACTTCAGCGGTGGGGTTGTGTACTGCTACTATTCTTATTTCTCTGGCAACAATAACTCTCAGGAGCAATTAAATGAGGTGGGCCTCTAAGTTCTGAAAGGGAGGGGAAAAGACATTCCTCTAGGCCTGTACATTTAGTTATTCATACAGTCATCCACATTTTTTTACACTCTGCCGGAGAGTATTGCTGGGCTGAATCCATTATACAGCTGAAATCCCATTAAGATGCGTTGAGATACAAGAGAGACTGCAGTTTGGCTTGGCTGACTATCTCAAACGGAGATATCAGTAGTCGAGTTGTGTTGATGGCTCGCAAATTCACTGCTGTAGAATAAAGATGTGTCGTAGAGGGACAGACAAGGAACAAGAATGACCTTACAGGACATTATTAAACTTTACGCCACGAGCAAGCAGAAATGCATCCGAGAAATGTTACATTATTTTTTTTCCTGTAGAAAAGATATTTTCTGCACTGTTTCTGTTCTTTTGCATTGTTTATTGATTCATTTGAAATTTGAGTTAAATATTGTCTGTTCCATTAGTGAGACAAGAACATGGTTGAAATATTCAGTAGGCTACCTATATACTTATACGTGAGTGCGTTATTGGCCTGTTCATGTCGTAGTGGGTGGTTGGATAAGTCTCCCTGTCACGTCTCAGGGACTTAATTAACAGAATACCTCAGGGAAGACACAGAGACAAGAGACAATTGTGTCATTAGCCATACGCCCAGACTCCAAGAGACAGCATCTGGTTTTCTACAGTGTTGTAATTTTACAGCATAATAAAGCAGAGAGCTCCCTTCGGGCCACACCTGGGAAAAGGACAGCCAACAAGAATAAGAAGGTTTGACGGGTCTCAGTATTCCAGTCAAAGCAGCGCAGCTTCAGGCCACTGAGTGCTTCAGGACTGCATATGTGGCCTCATATGGCTGTGCATCTTTCAGTAATTCTAACAAAGGCACCACACCACTTCAGAGGCTCCTTTTTAAATAGCGCACTGGTAGTGGTGCGGGCTGTAATTACAAAGGCCTAAATTGAAAGATAACTGAAGAATAGTGTTTAATATGCACAGGATTAGGTGAATTTGGGGGGTTGGTTTGGATTTGTGTCTGATTGTAGGCTAGTCAAAGATTGGAGATATTGTATTGTATGAAAAGTGTTTTTTCCCTGTCTGTCTGTAGGAAAATGGATGGACCGAGAACACCAAGAGATGAAAGGAGAAGAGCGCAACATAATGAAGGTGGGTAATTAGTTATGATTGTGGCTTTTGAATTCATCAGACGGTGCAACACAATGCAGCGTGGTGCCTAAATGGAGTGTTTTGTTGAAATAAAATCACCATGCCCTGTCAAAGTATTCCAGGAATAGATAATAATGTTTCCGAACTGGCCACCAGAGGTTGCTGTTGAGCTGTCAAAGTCGGGCAGTATTTGGTACCTGTAGTGCACCCAATGAAATGACGAAATCTAGGAAATGTAAAATGAAATGAAAATGCTGCTTGTATTTATTTATATATATATATATATTTATTATTTTCTCACTTGTTTCTCTTCTAAACATTCCATCAGTTGAGAGGCGGCGAAGAGACAAGATCAACAACTGGATTGTCACGCTTTCCAAGATCATCCCAGACTGCAGTATGGACAGCACCAAGACTGGAGCAGTAAGCAGTCTTACTTGACTCCACACTGTTGCTACCTTTTTACTGACGTTTCTGTTTTTAATGGTCACCATTCAACTTTGTGACGGCATCTCTGTCCCTCTAGAGCAAAGGAGGCATTCTGTCCAAAGCTTGTGACTACATCCGTGAGCTGAGGCAGAGCAACCAGCGACTGCAGGAGAGTCTGAAGGAAGTGGAGAGGATACAAGTGGACAATGAGTTGTGCAGGCAGCAGGTATGAATATCAGTCTATGCTCAAGCCTACAAATACAGGCCTCAAGTGAAGTTTCTTGGACTTCAATTATGGGTAAAGAAGGTCTATGAATGGTAATGTCAAAATGTTCCTTTGAGGTGGTTGGGTGTTGCAGATAAATAAAGTTATATATAATAAGGTGGCCATAGTGGGCTGCATATGTGTCTATGAAGATTGCTTCTGCATTGAATAGATTAGTTTGCTTTGGAGTGTGTTGCAGCAGAAGCCTCAGAAGCATGAAATCCTTGTAGCCCCATATGCATCTTCATTTCTCCAAAACAAATGCCCTGAGACTTCAGCCTGTATAACTGATCATCACAGCCTGACAAAGAGGTTCAAAGAGTTTGCACTCATATAATGAGAAGTGTTACCTGAAATCAGCGCTTTGAGAGACTGTGGGAATAGTATACACAGGGGTTGTGTGAGAACTAACTGCATGCTAATGCACTCAAAGTATTGTGAAATCTTGCAGCTCTGAAGCTGCCACATCTCCCCATTGAGTCCCAGGCCTGCAAGGCATTCAGCAATATATTCTTATTCTGATGCTCCAAGCTCAATATCCTTTCCTCAGTCCCTCGGTGGGAAGGCAGGGAATTCAGGATGTACCCATGGGAAATGTAGCAGAGATGACATACCTCAAGATTTGATAATCCAGTTGCTTGTGGACAGGGGTGTCTTTGAAAAGAGCTGCATATACTACTCTTTAATCCCAGGGATTGAAGAGCCCTGTGTGTACATTACAAACAGCCAGCACTCTATGTCTTCAAATGAAAAAGTTTGGTCTATAAACTTGGAGCTATATTAAGCTGTCACAGGGATGAAGATGTTGATGAGATTTTTTTTTGTCCTTTGCTCTTAAGATTGAAGAGTTGAAGAATGAGAATGCTTTGCTCCGAGCGCAACTCCAGCAACACGGCATCGAGATGGTTGGAGAGACACCACCGCAGTGAAGCAGAGACACAAAAAAAAAACAAAAAAAAAACAGGGAGGGGCACTACCACCCAGACATACAACTGACGCTGTGGAAGAGATGGCGAGAAGATCAAAAAAAGGACTTGTGAAGATCACTTTCTTTTTTAGTGAATGCATCCTTCTCTGGGTTCCCAGGTTGCAATCCCTTCACTGGCCAATTGTGGCTGTACTTGACTGTTCCAATCCTATTGAGATAACCACCTGTTACAACCCGGTAGAAATGTGCTCCAAGAAAATATACCCACTCACCACCATCAGAGTGCTTTGCTAGCACCAGCTTTGAAAGAGAACCTCTTCTGAACTCCTCCCTTGTTTTGTATTTATGTAGCCTCACTCATGGACTATGATGTTTTTCATTTAATTTTGTTACCCGTCAGTGTATTTTCCCCCAAAATTATTAATTTTGACTTAGTTCATGCTTTTATTCTGTTTGTGTTTTTGAGTTCTGTATTAATATGTTGTTTTTAGCTGCTTTAATTTATTAGTCTGCTTGCTGACACAAGCCTTGATGGAGACCAGTTACATTGAAGCTCATGTACCCCAGAGAAGCAGATTGAATTTTAAGTGAGAAAACATCAAAGTATGCAAAACATTATGGTTCTACAGACAGAAATAATGTGACACACATAGCTTACCTAGACCCAAAGATGAACAAGGCACTGTGCTGGTCTATGCTTCTGGGCTGATTTATGTAAATATGAATTCTCATGTTTTAATACAGATGTTACAGAATGTTAGAGCAGATTATCTCTGGGAGTAAACAATCAATAACTCATTAACTTCATGCTGGCCCTTTGTCATAATGTGTGCTATCCTGGAGCTTGATTTGACAAAAGAGTGCTATACTTGAATTGTTGGGCATTTGCTTAAACAGAAAAACAACTCAAAAGTCAACAAAATAATTAGTAGAGAACCAACTGTTCAAATGCTATTTAATTACAAATTGAAATGTACAAGTGCAGAACTTGAACAACAATTGACAAACCCAGTGCGCTGGATTGTGGACTCGAGAGAAGAGTGGTGCAAATTCCAACTTTTGCCAAACTATATATAGGTACTGTGGGTTTTATTTTCATCTTTTGTTCATGTGTAATTTACCGGTGTCTCAATACGTGTAAGAATAATCCCCACATGTTTCATTTCAAGCTGTTTGCTCTATTTTGGTATTGCAACACTTCAAATAGAGCTCAACGCACAAGGGGGGGAGGCACCCTGGAGAGCAGTACTCAAAGACTCTCTGCTCACTATGGAAAAGGAGTACACAGAAATTCTGTGTTGCGCTTCTTAGTTGAGCACAACTCGTTCTCCATGAAAAGACGGAATAGTTGGAAAGTGGGAAACTTGGAAATGATCTCGCATATTTCTCCACCCACTCAGGCGAACAATAAGTAAACTGTAATTGGTTGTACAAACAGCAAAAGCCAATATTAACATTGTTGATGATTTTGTGAATGAATATACATGATGTATTTTTGTTCTGCTTTGGGCGATGTGAGTGAAAGTGGAAGAGAGATATCAAGCTTCGGAGCCACTTATTAGAGCATGATTGCTTCTCCCTGTGTCAACAGCTCAGGATCCAGCAAAGCAAAACCAACATTCAGACCCCTGGCAAAATCAGGCAGACTATCACATTTTAATATCTCAAACTGTGCAAGTTAACAGCTTGTGCTTTGGAAGTGCTGTTCTGCTACTACTGCTAGATTCAAACCTGATAGTGCAAGTGTCTGATCTATCAAACGAGGCTCCTAGCCAAAGTTGAATGATAGATGTTTTGCAGTAGAATTTTTTTTACACCTCAGTGAGAGGAGAGCAGAAAATGTGAATGTGAAGACATGAATAATGCTTTGGAAGATGGATGTTCACAAATGAAAGGTCACTTGTGGCTAATTCTTTTTTTTTTTCTTCTTGAGTTTCTTTTTTGAAATGGCAACAGAAAGGGGGGAAAAAAGACAGATTTTCTCTCTGTAGCAGCCTCACTGTTCTCAGGTTAGATTGTAAGACATCTTTTCTAAGTAAAATGGTGAAAAATAAAACTTTCACTAGCTAATAACCTTTATGGACTTTTCATTGTGGGTCATTGTCCTTCTGCAGATCCTGGACATAAACAAAAATCTGTACTTCATTTCTTGTGTCAAGTTTTCAGTCCCTTGTGTGTTTGTCCAACTGTTATTTAGCACAAAACTACAATAGATCAGTTAAATTTGGTATATAAAATATTAACCCCACCAAATACTTGGTTTCAAATCTGAGTTATCTTTCTATAACTTTGCTTAGTTAAAGTTTGAATGTCAGAGTCTGATTAAAATAATGCTAAATCCCAATTGGTGCACAGAAGCACATGACATCACCTTTATCCAGTGGAGTCACGCCCATTCAAACCAGCGAGAACAACACAAACAGAAACAACCAAAAATGGTTTTAACTTTAGCAAAAAATGTGGTGTTCCTGTAGGACTGATTCACGTAGGGCCTTAAAGATGTGCCTAGAAATTCCTACAAGCAGAGATTTCCTGTTATTGTGGCTTGTTTGAGATTAGCTGCTGTACTACTACTACTCTACTGTAAATTAACACATCTACTCTGAACAATCTGGGAAAAACAAGGATGGTGTTTTCACCTATAGATGCCTCTATAGCATTATGATTATGATTTAAATGGGCCACCGAGTCCTGAATCTGACTCATTTTGAAAAAAAAAAAAAACACTGTACAAAGCTCTAAAAATGCTCATCCCATCAGCATGATTCACTGTGTGCAGTTCCAGATGTAGATGCAGAATTAACAGTTTTATACATCCTATTATTAAAACAACACATTTTGAGGATCATGCAACCTTGGAGAAAGTATGCACCCTCTGCGTACTCTTTGGTTCATGCAATCGATTGATCAACACACTGGTAAAATTAAAACCAGTAAGTAGCTGGAACACGCAGAGGGCACCTTGGGTGAGAGAGATCAATGGTGGATAAAAGGCACATCTAAGCCCTGAGTGAGATTGAGTTTGACACTGCAGGTTGAGGCATTTAAGCATCATTCTGCTGTTCTTAAAGAGCGAGCAGTCATGATTTGGATAATCAGAGTGTGCAGACTGAGATGCTGTTATCTTCCAAACAGTAAGACTATTTATAACTTAAGGACTCATTGCCTATCAGCATTCATTAGGCTGACACTATTTGTTGCATTTGCCTCGGTTTTGTCTTGCCGCCCCCCTCCAGTGTCTCCAGGCTTGTCAGCTGCCATTCAAACACACACAGCTAGCCAGGCAGGCGTCTGTGTGTCCCTGTCTCTGTTTGAAATGGCTGATCTCTGATCCCACGTACCTCTCTGATTGGGACATACGTACTCTGTCTGTCTGTCTGCCTCTTTCACCCCGAACCTGTAAGAGCTCTCTGAAGTTAAAATGAAGTTAGTTTGGAGAGGAAAGAGCATACAAACATGTCGATTTCTTCTCTAATTAATGTAATATGGAGCGTGTACTGGGGGAATGTCACATTTACCTCTCAGTGCAGATAATGCACTTACAATTAATTGATGTATTAATTGGAAGAGGAGAATGTCTCCGCTTTGAGCAATAGATTGTTATTGCCAAAATTATACTTCATGGATTTGAAACAGTGGTTTATGTCCGGTCAGAAGTGAGCAAATGTCTGCTTCCAGATATACCTAGAGAGCAGGACAAAGCCACCTGCTGTGAAATCCTATATGTGAATTGGAAAAGTCCTTTTTTAATTTGTGTTTAGGCAGAGCGCACGGTTGACTGATTTTCTCATGCTGGCCAATGCATTCTGCTGGAAAGCCACGGTTTCTTGTCCTGCAGGCTAGTCTTACCTTTGTGCTTTCTGAGCTACAGCACTGTCAGGAGCATATTGTCCACTGCCTCAGCCTGTTTCACATTCCCCCTCTCTCTCAGGTTGTTATTTGTCGAAAATGGTTGACAGAAAGAGTCTTATTACATCTGACATACAATGCTCCTCATACCTTGTATACCACACTGACTCTCATCTTTCTTGGGCCTACATTAATAACTACACAGCAACCACACAGCTCCTGTCTCACTCATAATAGTAGTATCAGCACAAAGGTATGCATTCTGCAGCTGTCAAGAGAAATGAGGAGATACGAATGAGCTCAGATTTAATTTTTTTTTTTGCTTTTCTGGAGCAGCCATATTCTACAGTTTTTTGATCAAACTGACATATGCAAAAATTCATTTTGCATAAGTTGAAAGACATATTTGACTCCACAAATAAGCAGAAACAGTGGGGAGTGTGGTTTCTGAATATAAATATATATAAATACATAATAGAAACATCGCAGTGGATAAACACTAAAAATATCACTGTTTCTGATCATTATTATTGTGTATTACACAATAAATAGGAATGTCTGGTGACAGAATCGGATGTTAGATGCAGCACAGAAGATATGTTTTCTGAAATTCTTATTAATTCATTTGTATCATTTAATTTAACTTATTTGATTCTGTACGGTGCTCAGTACATTAAATGGTTGCTACCTACAACAACCAGATTAACACTAAACAATGGTTAAAAATGGGGTTGTGGCAAAATAACACAACAATTTTAACAATTTTTCAGGCAGTAAGAACCTAATGTAAAGCAGCTTAAATCAACTGGATTCAGTGCTTCACTAGAAGAACATTTAAATAATTTAAAAAAACAAAAACATTTATAAGCAAAGCCTCAACTCCAGGTCTGCTTTTACATTGACAGGGCATATATCCAGTGCATTACCCTATTACAAAATGTGGATTAGGCTTATTTTTCAACTTTAGCCCAGTCAAGAAAATGGAAAAAACAGCAGTCTATCCACTCTAAAATATTCCCATGGTGTGGCTTTCATAAGGAGATGCCAAAAAAAAGCTTTATGTTAGGCTACTAATGCACTGTTTACTGGTCTTCCTTAAAAATTATTTTATTGAAACACAGTTGTGCTGTTAGACCTCTAACTAAAAATATCTCCAGCTTCCTGTTTGTTTTAAAGATCTTGTGATTGTACAAATATCTCTAAATAGATTTTTCTCCAATGAACCACAGCGAGCATTTCTAAGTGGCAGCTTAAAATATTTCTGAATTTTGTATCTCTGTTAAGTGTTTTTGGGGGGCATTTGAAAACAAAATAGATTGACAGTAGAGAGAAGACAGAAAATAAGGGGAGAGAGATGGGAAATGAAACAAGGGACCCCTCTCTGACTTGAACCAGAACACTGGAGTTCATAGTCAGTGCCACAACCATGTGTTAATTAATTTTTAATACCGACTTTTATTACTGACTTATTAACAATAATTTTGTGTTTTTTCTTTGCTCTCTCTATTGTTAAGCCCTTTGAGCTACATTCTTTTTATGAAAAGGGATATGGTTCAATCGTCTTGTTATCAGCATTTTTAAAGGGAATTTTGACTTATTCATGGCAATAAAATTGACACTGTTAAGTAATATTTAGGAAGTTCCAGTAATATATTGTAACATGCTTCTAATGCCACACAAACTGGGGAATTCCACACAGTGCAGAAACCCATTAACATGAGCTCCATACTGCCCCCTGTGTCTGAAAAGTAACACTGCAACACCGACAGTCAGGAGCAGTATGATTAGAGGTCATTACTACTAAACGTTCTCATGTTTATTTACAAATTGATGTGTTTATGGTGCACCAAAACTGGTTCTTCCATGTCCTAGTTTTGAGCAAAGCTGTAAACACTGACAAGGCGACAATGGGGTGAGGTGGAGTTTGGTGACAGACAAGCGGACAGAAGATGAGTTTGTGGAATGTCTTGCAGCTCCATATAAAGCAGGTGGGGCCAGAGAGGAGGAGGGTAAAGGAGGTGACAGGAACAGAGGACGATGATGAAACAGGGACAGACGGGGGCAATGCCCTGGACCGGGAAAAGAAGTGGCGCCTGTAGAGGTGAATCTGTCCGCCGGGCTGGTGCCTGGCTTTGTTTGGCCAGAAGATTCCTACTGATAGCCTCGGTGGCTGTTAGGAGGGACGCATGCTCAGTAGACACAGGCCAAAACACACACGTTTGGAAAACCCAGATCTATAAGCTGTTTTTGTTCTTTTTAACTGTTTTTGAAAGTGTACTTCCACTCACATGTATGCTCGCACGCTCACAGTGAACCTAGATAAAATATTTTTTATCCTGGCTCACTCAACCCATCTCATATTGAGATTTCTCATGAGCTGAGTCATGCTTAGTGAAACATAACAAACAACATGACATATGCTATCGTGAGTGGACATAATGTGCTAGTTCAAATAGCCCCTTTCTGTCCCTCAGTCCTGCAGAAACACACAAGCACACTCACAATAAGTAAAGATAATGTGATGCTCTCATTCATATTAGAAAGGTATGGGTAGAATCCAACAGATGTGGACCCATTCGTGGTTGTATTTGTTGACTCTGATGTTGTGGTCAGCCAAAGCAAGCACGCAGGCCAGCAGGGTTATCATTGAACGAGACAGACTGACGCAGGGGTCCCGCGGCATGTTGTTTCACTAATTGAGTCAGCACGGGCAATTTGGAAAGACTTTGAAGGTATAATGAGAATTCAAATGGCCCCTGATTTTATCAGCATGCTCAGTCCACCGTTTATCAGTTTGTACCTTTATTTGTGCCTTTGTGTTATTTCATTTCCACCATTATTGATTTTTGTATTTATTCACAGCCTGATGTTGTTCTGGAATAGTTCTCTTACACTGACAGGTTAATTAATCTTAAGGTATTTATTGCTGCTGCAGTGATAAGGGCTAAGATAATGCATACAATTTTAGAGTTGTATGCAATTGTTAATGGATTATTATCATTATGCCACTGTCATTACATCATTGTAATTTCACACAGTTTAAAATATTTATAAACCTATCAACAATTGGATACATTCTGGGTGGCAGGAAATTAGTAATGATGTTTTAATGAAACAAGCAGCTGTCCCTTGTCTATATTTCAATACATCATTCTTACATACTGAATAATATAACATAAATCACATACAAAAAGACATGAAGTATAACTAAAATAAAAAAGATAAATATAGTGATATACAATAGATTTGTTTTGTTGCAGAGTAAAACACGGAGCAATGCAACTCCTACCAGACAT